GTCAAATGAATTCCCTGCTTCCCGGCAGCAGTGATGAGCATCTGGCTGCGGACCGAGTCGCCCCCAACATCGAAGAACACATCTTCGTCAAAGAAGCTCTCTGGATCATCTTGAAGGACCTCGGCCCAGAGGTGTCGCAGTCGGTCTTTGATATCGTGGACTTCGTCATTATGATCTGTGGTCTGAATATAGGTCAGCCGTGGAACCCAATACCGAACTATGCACCAACCAGAGACAGCGGGGACCGTTCAGAAAGATGGCCAAGCTCAGGCACAGCATTCTGCACGGCAAGCATATTGGTAGTTGAGCTTCCAGTGTCAGGCCGTGATCATAGTCAGTGTCGAGCAGGTGCAAGCCGATATAACCGCCGGGCCGTTAGAGCAAAGTAGGCGGGCCGTTTCGGAAATAGAATTGGAATCAATATACCGACGCCTTCCTAAACCGGCAAGTAGGAAACCGGATCGGGCTGGGGTAGAGGAATTGCACGATTACTCTGGGTTTTTACGGGTTCCTGAAGATCCGTGGCAACTTGGGCACGGATTATATCTTTCCTAAATAGGCAATATCGAGGCCTGGTACTCCAGGTTCAATATAAATCTAGATATTTTCAAGGTCAAGCTTATCAGATTTCTTGTAGATTACGGATTAGGATACTTGTCATTCAACACCGCAACAATGTAAGTTCAACCTTGGCCAACAAGACACCAGCCCTAACCAAGCAGGCTCAACGCACCTGCAGAGAAATACAGCCCCTTCCCCCAGCTACACCTCCCCAACCGTAAGTGGCCCAACAAGGCCTTGACCAAGCCTCCTAGATGGCTTTCAACCGACCTCCGAGATGGCAACCAGGCGTTGGTCCATCCAATGGACGGCGCTGCCAAACTGCGCTACTTCCATTTCCTCCTTGAGCTGGGCTACAAGGAGATTGAGATTTCATACCCATCGGCGTCCCAAACAGAATACGACTTCACGCGGCACCTCATCACTACGGGAGCAATCCCTGACGACGTGACCATCCAGGTGATGGCACCCTGTCGAGAAGACCTGATCCGAACCACCATAGAATCTGTCCGCGGTGCGAAAAGCGCAATAATCCACCTGCACGTTTCAACCTCGGACTGTTTCCGCGAGGTAGTGTTCAATCTGACAGAAAAGGAGATGATTGAGCTGGCTGTTCGGTGTGCGCAAACGACCAGAGCCCTGACCAAAGACAGTCCCGATCCAGAAATGGCAGCGACAGAGTGGACTCTGGAATTCACGCCGGAGAACTTCCAGGATACATCGGTCTATTTTGGGCTTTCAATCTGTGAGGCAGTGAAAGCTGCCTGGGAGCCGACAGTCCAGCACCCGATTATCTTCAATCTCACATCGACTGTGGAGGTGGCCATGCCGAATTTGTTCGCGGACCAGGTCGAGTTCTTCTGCGATCACATAACCGAGCGAGATAAAGTGTGCGTCTCGCTTCATAACCACAATGACCGGGGATGTGCAGTGGCGACGGCCGAGCTATCCCAGCTCGCTGGAGCGGATCGAGTCGAGGGGTGTCTGTTTGGGAACGGCGAGCGTACAGGCAATGTGGACCTCGTCACCCTTGCATTAAACCTGTACACGCAGGGCGTGCATCCAGGAATCAAATTTGAAGATATAAACGCAGTCGTCGACCTAGTGGAAGAGCTGACGAAGATCCCCGTCCATTACCGAGCCCCATACGCAGGCAAATTCGTCTTTTGCACATTTACAGGGACGCACCAAGACGCCATTCGCAAGGGATACAAGAATCGCGCATCGATTGAGCAGAGTCTCGGCCGCTCGCCAAGATGGCGCATGCCCTACCTGCCCATGGACCCAGTCGATTTAGGCAGGAAGCACGAAGCCGTCATCCGCATCAATGCACAGAGTGGGAAGGGCGGCATAGCGTGGTACGTCAACGACGTCTTCCAGATTGACCTGCCGCGCGAGCTGGAAATCGACTTTACGAAGATGGTCAAGTCGTACGCCAATGTGAATGGGCTGGAGATCACGCACGAGATGATCGAAGAGCTGTTCCGGGACCGGTATATGCTCTCTGCCGATGCTGCTGAAATAGATCGTCTCAGTCGCACTGTGCTTGAGCAAAATGGTGGCCTGGATAAGCTGAAACCTGGCCAGAATGGGTCTGCTAATGGCCATACCAATGGCCGTACCAATGGTGCTGGTGCTCATGCAAATGGCTACATAGGCGGCCCTGTTCGCCCACCTGGAAGCCCTGCAAATGGCATAAATAGCACGAATGGTACCAACGGCACGAATGGGCATACCAATGGGAATACCAACGGGCATGCAAACGGAAAGACTAACGGCCATAATACCCCTGGTCTCATTGAGTCTCTAGAGTCAAGGATTCTAGGCGCGAACGACATTCACGAACTTGGTGCTGATTCAGGGTCGAGCCTGAACCATGCTTTCAAGCAAATTGGATTCGACGTCGAATTTCTCGACTACACCGTCCAAACTATTGAAAGGGCTGAGGAACTGGCTGGCCATTCCTATGAGTATGCAAGCTTCGTCAAGGTCGCTCCCGATGGAGGATCCACGGCGCTTTGGGGAGTTGCTATAAACGAAAGCCCTATCTCGGCGTCGATTCAAGCAGTGAGTAAACATTACATCGAATTGTTTCGCCCATGCTAATAGATATAGGTCCTCGCCGCATTGGTAAAGCTCAAGGTCCGTGGCACGATACGTGAAGAGACAACAGGATGAGCAACTATACTGTATAGATTTGTATCAATGTTCTATAAGACTGCCTAGCAATAAAGAAATCGGAGTATCTAGAAATACCTTCTTCACACGAGAGTAGTAGCAATATCCCGGAGATCTCTCTTCAACACCTTCCCAGTGGCATTCACGGGCAGCTCATCGGGAATACCTCCTCCGTCTCCAAGCAGAAAGAAATGCTCCGGCGTCTTATGAGGTGCCAGCTTATTCCTCAGCCATTGCTTGATAGCCCTTTTCTGTAGACTAGCTCCTTCCTTGGCCTCTTGGGCTGGTTGTATGAAAGCCACAACAATCTCTCCCCAATAAGGATCTGGGACCCCGACAACTGCAGATGCAATGATATCGGGGTGAGAGTCCAGGACTGGTTCAATGTCACCTGGGAAGATGTTTTCACCACCTAATTCAACTCATCAGCCGTATTCAGTCACATATGAAAGGGCACACACCTCTCTTGATCATATCCTTCACCCGCCCAGTAATGGTACACCGACCAGCGGCGTCAATATTCACCAAGTCTCCCGTCCGTAACCAAGTTCGGCCTTCAGAATCTGTAACCAAGGTGTCCGCTGTTTTCTCGGGATTCTTGTAGTATCCCCTGAAGGCAAGATATCCAGAGACCACTAATTCACCCGGCGTCCCAGACGGAAGCGTATTCATATTCTCATCAACGACCCTCGCTGTGGTGAGTGGCATAACCTTTCCAACAGATGTATGCTGATCAACTAGACGAACCTCAATCGGATCCGTTAGGAAGACAATACACGAAAGCTCCGTCATGCCATATCCATACGCAAGGCCCGTGAAATTCAACACCTCTTCCAGCCGGGAGAGAAGAGCCGTAGATAAACTCGAGCCAGCTACAATCCCTGTTCTAAGGCAAGTGCGAGGAGCATGTTTAGAGATATCAGGATGGTCCAGCATAGCCTGGAACATTGTCGGGACGGCGTGCACGACCGTACACTTGTCCTCGGACAGAGCGCGGAGACTCGCTTCTGCGACGAAGACGTCTGAGGGGAGAACGGCTGTCCCTCCATATACAAGTGTTGCCAGGACTCCACATACTAGGCCGAAGCAGTGGAATACAGGCGAGCAGCAGAGGACAGTGTCGTCCGATGTGAAACGGAGTCTGTGTCCAACAAGTAAGGCATTATTCAACAGGTTGCTGCGAGTAATTAGCCTAGTCTATGGATATTGTCTGGTTACCAACCTATGTGATAGCATTGCCGCCTTTCTCGGCCCAGTCGTGCCACTCGTGAACTGGATACACATTGCATCGTTCGGGTCCGCCTGTCCCCAGTACGAGGAAACAAGGTCGTGTTGCTGGACAGCGCCCCCTTCTGGCTGGAGAAATTCCTCCCATGTGCGCACATCCTCGGACAACTTCGGTCCAGAGCCAAGCTGCACGAATATCGAGACATTGCGACGCTTCGTTGCAATTTCTGCTATGAGCGGCCCATACTTGCGATATCCAATTCTGTCTGCGATGAAAATCGCACTTGGGTCTGGAATTGTGAGACTAGCTACCAAGTAGGATTGGAAACTGACTTACCCACGAACTCAATGGCAGGTAGAATCTCATCCTGCGTAAATGTCGGGTTTATAATAGTGAAAATCCCCCCGATGGCACTAACTGCGAGGAACAGCTGCACATACTCGATCGTATTCCCAGCAAGCACAACAATGCGGTCTTGCGGGCGCACGCCCTGTCGTAGCAGGTTTGTCGCTATCTCCCTGACAGACCTGTTCAGGGTTTCATATGTCAAACTCGACCCCTGCCATTTTGATATCACGGCTGTTTTTTCCGGGAAATGCCCCTGTTGCTTGTCGAGGAGCTGTGCGATGTTCAAGGATGTTAGGGTTACTTCCGATGCCATTGTTGTCTATATCTTGCAACTTAGCCAATATTTACCAACGATAGAAGCTTGCTACGGCAGGGACAGCCGTATACTAGTCGCCTTTTGCTATTTAGGGCTCGGGGTCCGGATTCTGACTTTCCTATAATGGCAAGTTTCGGTCTATCGGTGCCATTTTAGTCGTGCGCTTAGTGCTTATACGATCTCCCAAGAGAGTCCACAAACGGCCGTATACTGGCCATTGTTTCCCAGGTATAAAGCAATATTCATTTACTGCGGTCATCCATGGTCTGTTCGATCTGCACCAGCAGGTGGTTTGGATACTCCGGGTCTCATTAAGTGACATTTCTCGAATGACCTGCCTCGTCTTGAGATTCAATACAGCAAAGACAGTTATTTCCTCCTCAATTCGACGACTCCCTGCCCCGGTCCATCGGGAAAGACCATAAAGGTAACCTTCAAGCCGGCCAACTCCGCCAACTGCCGCCAATCCTCTCGACTCCTCTCTCTTCCACCATACAGCACCACCATCGTAGCATTCGCCGCCGGAATCTCATCCCTACATCTCTCATGGATAAGAACCCTAGAATATCTTTCCATTGCCCCCGCTATCTTCTGCAACAGCCTCGCCGCACCCAGGTCCGGGAGGTTATGCAAGACACCAGACAGATGATAAATCAGGGCCCCTTTAATCATGTCAGGAACATCCTCTGTTAGATAATCCCAATTAACCAGAGTAAGTCCCGGTAGATCAGTAATATCAGCATTCGACTCCGCAACAATTAAATCCCCCTCCACAAGCCCGGGAATAGCATCCTTGATGTCCCGCAACAAGTCGCCCCTTCCACCCCCAACATCAACCATTTTCACCGGGCTCCCCTCCCCTCTCGCCTCTTGTACCACAGAGGAAATATCATATCCCAGCGCCTGTAAACGCTCAGGGGTCTTCGCATCCATCCCGAACCGACCCTGCATAAAGGTATTAAAGCTCGCGATCCGGCCCTCGGCCGCCATAATCGCATACGTATGCAGACCCGCGAGATCATCCCGACCCATTAAAGTATACGCATGCTGCGTCGGCGTCTGCAGCCCGGTGAAGGGGTATTCGAAGCCCGTTGCTTCGAGCTTGCGCATGAGGAAGGCGGAGGACATGAGGACTTCTGTTGTACTACACCAACAGCATCAGTATCTTAGTGCTAGTAGGGTGGGGGCAGTGAAATACAAATGCAGAATCCCGTGTATAGCAGACGGCGTGCTTCCTAGATACTGTGTCAACTTGTTCGCGCGGTAGAGGTTCTCCCCTACGGCGTCGACCCAGGACAGGGCGGTCATTGCGACGAGCGTATCCTCTGTCTAGTTAATTGTCCGTCTCTGTCGTAAGTATATTTCAGGAGGCTGACCGATTAGTTTTACGGCTGGCTTTATTTAGTTGGTATCATTAGCAGAGATCGTGATAACCTACGTGGCGTGTCGGTAGTACCGCCGCGCGCGCTCTTCAAGTATGCATCGCGCACATCTCTTCCATTCGCAGGACCACCAAAGTCGGACAGAATAGGGAAGATGCGAAAGCGGACGGCGACGGGGACGAAGCCGAGCGAGCCGATCTTCATCTGAATTAGTATGCGAGGGCGGGCTAAGTAGGGTATACTCACAGTAACAACGGTATCGAAGACGGCTTTACCGGGGTTGGGGGACGACATTCTGATATTTGCAGCGTTTTTACACAAAGGCAAACAATGTGACTTCAAATACAATGGGCATTCCACGCTTATATGCACTACTTCTAAACAGGACTGCTCGGGGTCCGAGTGATGAACCAAACGGAGACCGATTGTGTCAATCCCTGCATGCTGCACGGGGTGCTCGCTCAATGGTCACAGCTGGTCTGTCTTTGCAGGCCAGGGTCACACAGCATGATCTTGGCCATTGCAGGCCAATCTTTTGAAGGATGTCGTCGCTGCGATCGAGAGCCTCGGCGAATGAGACAGGGTCTCCGTCGAGGAGTTCTTTGCGATGCGTCATTTTGGATTGCTATATAAGAGTGGTGAGTAACAATAAGCGGGATTGTGGGAAGATCTGGAGTGGGTGTGTTAAATGATATTCTTACCGTCCATGGATCGCGCCTTCCAGGTCGATTCTCGTACCAGCAAATACAACACCAACATATTGCACGCCAACTGTCAACTGCTGTTGTTAGGGTGCAAAGTCATCGATGGTGGTAGTAGGAGGTAGACCCACAGCCCCATCCAAAAATAAAAACAAAAATTAATGCTCACACTCGGATTCGAACCGAGGATCTCATGATTACTAGTCATGCGCTTTACCAACTAAGCCATGCGAGCCAATTTGTGATAACCCATTTGTATTCGGACATTACCAGCAGACTACTAAGGCAGAAGTAAATACTTTCCCTTACAGCCGGTCGTCCTTATCATGGCGTCAATTTTCCGATCGCAAGGTCGCTGTTGAAATAATTTACACTTTATCGACTCACCCATCGTTGCTACTATTACTGGCGCAAGTATTATTGTAGGTCAGCCAGGTCGGTGCTTCACTAGGAAACGTCCTCTTTGACACAGTGACGGTACAAATATATATAATCCCGGCCTAAATGTTCGATACCATCACCACTAATATGTAATGGACTGCGATGACATCTAATAATCTAGCCTATTACCAACAAACACTAACAAGACCCTCGCAGTCAATGCACCAGTCAGCCCTGCGGATATAAGACTCTGACCCTGGACACAAGCTTAATTCCGAATAACCCTTTCGACCTGTCTCCAACGTTGGAGAACGGCTCACTCGCACCAATGACGCAGCCTCATGCACTGCTGGCCAGCGATCATGAAGTCATCTAAATGCGCTTAAATCCGGTATATCCCCGCAGAGACAGACATACAAATACAGATGCATCCCCTCCCTGTTAATCACAACCCATAAACGATATCCCCCGCCATCCCCACAATGAAGTACGTCCAGCTCGGAAACAGCGGCCTCCGCGTCTCCCAGATCGTCGTGGGATGCATGAGCTACGGTAACCCCAAAGGGCGATACGCCTGGGCGGTCCCTGAAGAGGAAGCTCTGCCTATCCTGGAGCACTGCTACAACTCCGGTCTTAACTTCTACGACACAGCGAACATGTACTCGAACGGCGAGTCCGAGGAGATCCTGGGCAAAGCGATCAAGAAGTACAACTGGCGGCGCGAAAACCTGGTCATCGCGACGAAACTATGGGCGCCCGTCGGTCAGGGAGATGAACAACCACTCGCCATGACGGAGGAGGAAAGAGATGCGAACGGGTGGGTGAATCGATACGGTCTCAGCAGGAAACATATCTTTGACAGTATCAACGAGAGTCTGCGACGGTTGGATCTTGAGTACGTCGACCTACTCCAGATCCACCGCTTTGATCCGCATACGCCGGTGAAAGAGACGATGGAGGCGCTGCATGATGTTGTCAAGTCTGGAAAGGTCCGGTATATAGGGGCCTCGTCCATGCGGGCACACCAGCTGCTGGAATATCAGTATACAGCACGGATGAATGGGTGGACGGAGTTCATCACGATGCAGAACCTGCATAATGCAGTATACCGAGAGGAAGAAAGGGAAATGTTCCCATCGTGCCAGAAGTTTGGAATGGGGACTATCCCATGGAGTCCTGTGTCTATGGGGTTTCTGACTCGGCCGTGGAAGACTTTTAGTGATACGACGCGGGGGCAAGTCCAAGATATGAAGTTTCACGGTGTCCCATATACAGAAACCGATAAGAGGATCAACGAGAAGATTGAGGAGATTGCGAAGAAACGTGGAGTTTCAATGGCCATTATTGCGCTCTCATGGTCTCTGTCGAAGCCGTTCATTACCGCGCCGATCATTGGAATGAGCAAGAAGGAGAGGGTGGATGAAGCTATCCAGGCGACCAATTTTCAGCTCAGCGAGGATGAAGTAAAGAGTATTGATGAGCTGTATGCACCGAAGCAGATCATCGGGCATAAGTAAGATTACCCCGTTCAAACTATCTAAGCTACATCGAGTAAACCTTATGTTGAAATGAACAATCATTTATTCATATATTTCGTTATAAAGCCTAACGGCCGCATGCATGGAATAGCCTTCCTGGCTGAGCCATATTCCTCCCAAGAACGGCGGCGCACATGCATCCAGACCGATGCTATATGGCTGACCTATCCGTACCTGTTGCCCTTAGTAGTTGTCGCGGCCACTGCTGGAGTTGCCATAGCCACCGGAGCTGGTGTTGCCGTAGCTGGAGTCAGAGCTTCCATAGCCACCCGACTTGGAGCCATAGTTGGACTCATCACGACCACTGGAGCCACCATAGCTGGACTCGTTACGGCTGTTGCTCAAGCCAGAGCTACCATAGGAAGAGGTGGAATCGCCGCCGGTTGTAGAGCTACCATAGCTCGACTCATTGCGGCCGCTAGAGCTGTTTCCGTAGTTGGAGCTAGAGTTATCACGGCCGCTGCTGCCATAGCTGGAGTCGTTGCGGCTGCTAGAGTTGTTGTCATAGCTGGATCCTGACTTGCCATAACTGGAGTTGTCACGGTCGCTGCTGCCATAGCTGGATTCGTTGCGGCCACTGGAGCCACCATAGCTGGACTCGTTACGGCTGTTGCTCAAGCCAGAGCCACCATAGGAAGAGGTGGAATCGCCGCCGGTTGTGGAGCTACCATAGCTCGACTCATTGCGGCCGCTAGAGCTGTTTCCGTAGTTGGAGCCAGAGTTGTCACGGCCACTGCTGCCATAGCTGGAGTCATTACGGCCGCTAGAGCTGTTTCCGTAGTTGGAGCCAGAGTTATCACGGCCGCTGCTGCCATAGCTGGAGTCGTTGCGGCTGCTAGAGCTGTTGTCATAGCTGGAGTTGTCACGACCGGTGGAAGAGCCGCCATAGCTCGATTCCTCACGGCCACTAGATCCGTAGCCGCTCGACTTGGACTGGCCGTAGCTGTCGGTGTCACGGCCAGTATATCCAGAGCTGCCGTTGCTGCATTCGTTACGGCCGGAGTTGCCATAGCTCGAGTTATCGCGGTCACTGCTACCGTAGCTGGATTCATTACGGCCAGACGAGCTGGACTTGTCATATCCAGAGGTAGAACCGCCGTAGCTAGACTCGTTGCGGCTGGAGTCACCGTAGCCGGAGGTGGACTGGCCGTAGCCACTGGAGCCGCCGGAGCGGGAGCTGTTGTCGTAGTCGTTGTAGCCAGACATATTGGGGATTCTTCGTGAAGTGATAAAAGGAGGTAAGGATTTGTTTATTGCAATTGAGGATTGATAGTAGCTCCAGATGCAGCGAGTGCAAGGGGCTTATATAGCTTTTTAGGACGTGGGGCAGCATAGCTCAAACCACAAGGTTGTCCAGAGCTGACGCACCCAAACCCCAATCTGCAACAAGACGGCCCACGCCCACGGTGGCTGTTTGTCGGGGACTATTCGGTGTCCCCGATCCTGTCGATTCCTGGTATCTGGATCTGGAGGGGTTGGTTGGACTATGTCGACATTGTGGCGAGAGGTGGGATAACGACAGGGGATGCGCACCCAATTGCACGATGGCGAGCTTGCGACCTCCCCCACCACACAGAGTTCCAGCCGTGCGAGCAAGTTACGCTAGAATCGATAGTCAATCTCGCAGTGGGCTCGACCACCAGGGCAGTCCCATCGACGCACCGCCACTGGGGGTCAGCCACAGCTCCACTTCAGCCCCAGGCAGCCACAATTCCGACATCGCTCTCTCTCAGTAAACAACAGCTGCAAAACAGCTTAACGCCTGTTGATGACCCGAAAACAGCAGAACGTCTTAGAAGCCTAAAAAGCACGGGTCATGGATCTGGCATGTAATCTCACCATCCTCCACCCCGAGGGCCGATCGATCCAGTGGTGCCAGATAGCGTTCCAACTCTTCACCCCACCATGACGCCACAAAACACTCGTCCCACCAAGGCAGGAGGGGTAGTTTGTCTAGCTACGGCCGAGTCGGAGCGGAAGTGGCGAGAATCACAAAAACACCGCAGCCTGCCGTCCAAACATGTGCCCCCTGAGAAAGGAAGTGGCATTACAACATTATCCTGCATATGACACCTTCCAGAGAAAGATCGCCCTACCGGGCTGTGACAACTGACAACTGACAACTGCACGACAGCCAGGGCGGGGCTGAGCAATGGCCAATTTGAGACCTCGGCTTGCGCGAGTAAGTCCAGACTCTGGACTGGACTCTGAGACTGTCGACAACCCCTCTTGTCTGCCGATCTTCCTCGCCGATTCTTTGGGCTCTTGGGATGTAGGCCGCCTTTTCTTGGGATATCCTCTCGCAGGTCAGGACCTTGGGACTGACCATTTCGGGACTTACACGACTGGGACAACACAGAAGTCACTGGTCCGAATCTACAATGGGTCTCACGCTTGAATGACTACAGTAACTTCAAGACTTTGAACTCCAATAGTTAACTGGTTGCTGAACATTTTATGACGAGATGCTAGACCGCTACACCGAAAGCGCTGGCGGCTAGTCAGCTATCTCTAACATTTTATTTCCACGGCGGAAAAGGCTAACAGTGGATACAGCCATGCTGCGTTGACACGCCAACCACGAAAGTGCACATACAACTTAATCTAGGGCAATTGGATGCATTTTGTGGAAGACATTCGTCGGGTCATACTTGGCCTTGAGATCCTTCAATCGACCAAAGTTCTCGCCGTAGATATTCCCAACAACAGAGTCACCAGCTGTTCAATATTAGCATATACCGAAGAAATAGCTTGAAAGGAACTCACGCTCAGCATAGTTGATATATTGCGGCACGCCCTCCTTGCCCTTTATATCCACATTCCCAACCTGTCTCCCTTCAAGCTCCTTTTTCCAGCGCTCCTGGACCTCCCTCGCCCAAGCCCTATGCTCTCCATCTTTACTCTTATCCGTCCATCGCAGCGTAATAAGCCCGTTCTGCGTCGTCCCCCGACTCGCAAACGCAGTCGCACTCCTCGGAACCTCCACCGTCTTCATCATATCATAAAACTCAAGGAGGAGCCCCGACTTGCCCAAATCCGGATCAGACATAACCTTTGCCGTGAAATCCTCGAGCATCTTCCTCGCAAACGCAGGCGACAGAGGCGGGTTGAAGAACACGCCCTTGAACGACTTCCGATCCCCGTACGTCGCCATCGGGTTCTGCAGAGCATTCACCTGGCTATACGGGATCATGCTAACCATATTCGCAACCGGACCAAGCGACAATAACTCCCCAAACCTCTTCTCCCCCTCCTCCTGCGTCCCGTTATAAAAGACAATCAGATTCACCATCGGCACCGGCGCCCCCGGCGGCGTCGCAAAGACACAAATCGCCCCAGAGCGCGGATCAGGCTTATCCAGCAAAAGCCCATTCAGAACCCCAATGACAGCCTCAACTTTATCCGGCGTGAAGCCCAGAACACCCGCATAAACGGGATTCTTCTGCTCATGCGCCTGGAACGTAAACTCGGTCACAATGCCGAAGTTATACCCGGCCCCGCGCAGACCCCAGAATAAATCGCTGTTTTCAGTTTCTGAGGCTGTGATGATTTCTCCGCTCGCTAGAACGATCGTCGCGCTGAGTAGGTTGTCGATTGTTAGCCCGTACATCCCGCTTAACCACCCGTACCCGCCGCCGAGCGTTAAGCCGCCGACGCCGGTGTGATTCACTGTGCCCCCGACGGCGGCGAGGCCGTGGGTCGCTAGAGCTTCGTCGACGTGCTTCCAGGTAGCTCCGCCGCCGACGGTGGCTGTTTTGGATGCAGCGTCGACGGAGACACTGTTAAGACGGGAGAGGTCGATGACGAGACCGCCTGCTGAGGAACTTGTGCCTGCGACGGAGTGGCCGCCGCATTTTACGGCGAGGTCGATGTTGTGTGTTTGCGACCATTTTAGCGCAGTGACTATGTCGGATACTTCGGTTGGTTGGATTACAATGCCCTGGGTGAGTTAGTGATCATGCCTTGATGGTAGTTAGGTGGAGGTGGAGGTACAGCTTCTTTGCGGCCGGTGTCGGACCAGCGGGTCAGGGCGGCTTCGTAGCCTTCATCTTGGGGCGTGAAGGTTTTTGAAGAGACGAGGGTCTCGCGTAAGGATTTGATGAGGGAGTCTGGGATGGCCATTTTGGTTTCTGCAGATGAACATGAAGATATTAAATGGAGGAGGGGTATTTATGGAGAAGCCAATGCCCCTCATTCTGCCTTTCGGGTACTGTATGGAACCGCGCGGGCGTCCGAGATCTTCAGAAGGCCATCTCCTCGTACTCGGGCTCCGGTTTATTTGGGTTAGTTCGCAATAGCCTATCTGCTGCAGCAGAATACATGTTTGTTTATATCGGTTTAATCTCCAGCGGGCCTTAACTGTGAATTACGCCGCTGGGCACTCAAATTGCATTTCCCGGTCTAACAATAACCATTTCCACCCGGGCGCTGCGGCTATTGTTATATCCACTGAGTAGTTGTACAGTCAGGATTGTGCTTTCGTATCTGGATAGCAGGACCAGTGCCAATGGGCCAATGCATTCTGAAAGCCCCAGGATACTAATGATAACAAGTGCTCTCATTAATAGTAGCGAATGGATGGCAGGATACCCCGATATCTCCGTGGCACGCAATCCATGCTGACGGTTGCGAGTTGTTTGATATTGCTTAAATAGACGTCTCTCAAAGCAGCTTTATATTCTTTATCAAGCCAAATTACTGATCTAATATCGCTATGCAGTCTATTTCGGCGCAGTCCTCTTCTCAACAAACTTGGTCTCCCCAAAGGCCTTCTTCACACCCTCGGTGGCCATAACACGCTCATACCAGGCAACAACACCAGGATACTTGTTCCTCATCTCCGCATCAATCGCAAAGGTGAATCCCCAGACCAGGGACGCGGCAATCGAGATATCCGCAAGGCTGATCTTCTCCCCAGCCAACCACGTCTTCCCAGACGAGAGGTGCCTCTCCAGGCTCTCAACCGAGCGCTCAAGCTTCGACACGGCCTGGTCTTCAGCGCCCTGGTCAAACGAGCCAAGCCCGAACCGCGGAAGAATGATCGTCACGGCAGGTGGCATCACCTCTGTCTCGGCCATGGTTACCCACTGCTGGACGGCCGCGCGCTCAGCGGCATTTGAGCCGAGGAGCTGCTCCCTCAGGGGCCCGCTGTCGGCGACATAGTGGGCGATGGCGTTCGACTCGAAGATGTTGACGCCGTCGGTGCCGCTGAAGGCGGGGGCCTTGCCGAGCGGGAATTTGGCGAGGAATTCTGGGCTTTTGTTGGTTTTGCCGAATTCGAAGGGGGCGTCTTCAATTTTGAGGCCGTTGAGGTTTGCAACGGCGTGGATCTGTGCTGTTAGCTATGGAACGACAGACACTGGCAGGGTCATCGAGTACCTTTGCGACCCGAGGGTTCTGGGGGTAACTGTAGATGGTTCCGAAGGACATTGTGTTTGTGATTTCTTTGTTCAATTAGCTCTTTTTGCAGGTGTGATTGTTAATCCTCCCAGGTCCAACGCTTATATACGCGTTTATCCCACCGGGCGGGGTAGCTGCTGAAGATTAACTAATATGACAGATCAACATGGACTGGCGGTATACGCTCCTTGCGCTGGTATGCAGCGCAAGTGGAGACAAGCGACCGGCGAAGCAGACCGAAGCCGAGGGAAGAGCTTGCTTGATCATCGTGGAGCTCCCACTGCCGAGTGGGAGGAGTTGAATCTGATGTTCATGAATTGATACTCAATCGATGCTCAGTTGATATTTGAGATCGACAGTTATTGAGGGCCGGTGGATTGCCTAGGTTCCTCTGATCCAGACGAATTCGTGGGATATGGAGGGTTGGCCATCATTACAACTTTCATCATCTTGTTCAATCAGTTGATCAAAGATCAGTCGATGTCGAACTGATAGACAAGAAGTCTGAGGACGTGTGTCGGGTATTTAAGGCCAAAAGAGCAAATGGACAATAAATTGGACTTCTCACTAATCAATAATCGTTGATATCACGCCATCACTTGAATACTAATCACGACTGTTCGCCCATTTGTCATCACCCGCAACTCCTTATATAGACGACAACATCATCACAATCCCTGTAAATCATAGTTCAATACCTCAATATATAGTATCTAAAAATGTCTCTCAACGGCCCAGTTTCAGTCACCTCAGGTTCCTCGACCCCCCAAAAGACGGCTCAATCCCGCACGCCGTGGTCCCTCCCACAGGAAGACCGCAAGAGAACTACAGCGCCATTGAACACCAAGTCCAGCTCACAGACGTCCGCGGCCATGAGAAAGAATACAACCTCGACAAGGACGCCTTCCAGGTGATCCAAAGCGTTCCGTCCGCCATGACCTACGAGTCCTGGGACTCCGACTCAACCATCAAATCCACATACTACCCCGAGGTCCAGGACCTACTATTCAAGAACGTCCCAGGCGCACACAAGGTCCTCATCTTCGACCATACAATCCGACGTTTCAACCCAGAGTCAAACCGGTTGCCTGCTGTATTCGCGCACATCGACCAGTCGCCGCATGCCGCGGAACAGCGCGTCCGCGAGCACGTCAAGGATCCCGAGGAGGCGGAGGAGTTGCTCCGCGGTAGACACAGAATCATTAATGTCTGGCGTCCGTTAAACGGCAAAGTTGAGTCCATGCCGCTGGCGCTGGCCAGTGCGACGTCTGTGTCTGTTAATGACCTGAGTGTCATTGAGCGGCGGTATCCGCATTACACGGGTGAGATGATGGGCGTCAAGTATAACCCGAACCAGAAGTGGTCGTACTGGTCGGGTATTGATGATGACGAGCGCATCCTGATCAAATGTGCAGATTCGCGTGAAGATGTCGCGAGGAGAGTGCCTCATTCCGCCTTTGTGGATCCGAGGTCGACGGAGGAGTCGAAGCCAAGGGAGAGTATTGAGGTTAGGGCGTTGGTGTTTGGGTAGTCTTTCTCCTTTTGTTATGGTATACCTGTTTTCTTCTGTTGGTATCCGGGCTTCCTGTGAAGGAACGCGGTACAAATGTAGTGAATAATGGAATATTCATCTATATCCTCACCCGTGAGGCTTTCAGATTGAGGATCTGGTCGTCCTTTTCGGAATACCAACCCCTTCTTACCTTCCTGAGGGTTCATTGCTGCAACCTCAAAAGCCTACTGCTCTGAGATATTGGTTTCGATCATGAGGGCTGGCTCACCATGCTCAAATATTTGGCTACTGAGTTTACCAAACTCGAATATATCGAATTGACCCGCCTGTTGGAATATCGTAAGAAGCTTTGTTTGGTTGGATTTATGGGTGTGATTCGGGATTTCATTGTTGATAGGGTATTAGGAAAGAAGATACAATATTAGCACCACCAAGGAGTGAGGAGTGGGGAGGCGCGAGTGCTTACTGTTTCCTATGGTGGCCCCAGTATGGATGTTGCGTTGCAGAAGATTGCTGGCTCGGCGACAACTCTATCGGACAGGCAGATTTAAGCCATTACCATAGGGAAAGGGAAAGAATATAGTCTTAGAGTAAAGGATGTAATAGGATACACCTTGTATTATAATTCCTATGAACAAGCCCAGCAACCTGGAAGTCCCGTGTACCTCAGCTGTTCAATGTTGCTCCTTGACGATAACATTATAACACCCGCTTCACTGTAGCTTGCTACTCTGGAAGCCGCGACCAGTGCAGTTTCCATCCCATCCAAGAGAAACGAACGGTAATGTCAATCGCAGTGGCTTGACCACAGTCTTCGCGGTGACTAGGATTCTGGCCTCAATGGCAGCCGCACTATGAGAAAATGCGAACAAGGCAAGCAATGTGATCATGGTAGTAATAGGCACTGACAAAAAGCGCAACCAAGGGCTATAAAACATGCAGAACACAACTGCTGTTGTTTTAAACCACATGCGTCGTCTGTATCTTAGTGGCACTCTTTAGCTTTTCCACTTGACCAGCAATCGCCTGTTTGAAATCAGCCTTCCCTGCCTTATCCGTTTCTTTGGCCCTCATCGAATATCCAAATGCCCACTTCACAACTAGCGCCATGGTGATCAGCGTAAGTGGTGCAGTGACTGCCCAGAAAATCCAGAAGTGAGGCTTTGCAACTTGGCTGATGGACGGCGCATCCCAGTCGAACAGTTCCATAGAAAAGAACGTCTTCGGCAGCAATTAGCACTGAATAAGAGAAAAACGGGGAGATGGATGCCTCGTACAGAAATAAAGGTTCCCGGGAGGAAGAAAGTCGCCAGGATGGTAATGGCCTTCATTGCTGAGCTGTCGTGTCTACTTGCATTGGCAATCTCGCGCGAATCTTGGGCGATGTTCATACTGGAAAGGCTGTCATGTTGGGTAATCAGATTGAAGAGCTGAAGACCGTCAGAACTGCTAGGATATAGTGGTACCCCCTCTCCCAGGAAAATATAGGCACTTACTGTCGTATGCTGTGCCTCGAACCGCTCCTTATTACCGCTTAACATCGCATGCTGGGTAGCACTCAACATGAACTCCGCCCGTTCTTGCAATCTCATGGAAGAATTGCCTAGCTTAGCACGTGTATCAGGCGGTAGCCTGTCATCCATAAATTTTATCTTCTTCAGAATGAATTCAATGCACCACTCCATGGACTGCAGATCTTCTACTGCCGTGTGTGTCCCGCTGCGTGCCCTGCTGAGGCTTTTCACGAGAACGCGATAGTCTGCTGATCCGTCTTTCAACGTTCCTTCACCCTCGACTCCGTGCCCAGTGGATCTTTCGACTTCTTGAAGGGTATTCTCGTGTTCCCTTAAGGCGTCCACCTTTGCAAGGAGATTGAATTCAAGAGCAAGAAGCGGCAGAATGAGCGGATGGGGACATAGTTCAAACTCCGCCAAGATACCTTTGAAGTCTGAAAATGTGGCATTAGTGTAAAATATCCCACGGCTGATGTTGGTGTGAGGGTCATAACGAAGCATGGTGGTAGTCGAGGCGTGAGCCCAGGTTCGCGGTCGAGCCAACACTGTTACTGTTAACACAGCGCATTTAATGGGATGGGAAAGCCGTACGCACACCAGGAATCATCTGGAAGTTGAAACAACCCAATTGCCCCAAACGCCCATGAAGAACAATGGTGATGGCTATGCGGTAAACCCAGCGCTTCATTCAGCGCTTGCAGGACGGGTTCACCCAACTGTGGCAAATGCCGTCTGTTGAGGGAAACTGCCACCATCTGGAAGCCCAGTGATGGTTGCTTACCATCGCGAAGTGGAATAGGCTCCTGCAGTCGTTGAAAGATCTGGTCCTGCCTGTACTCGTCGTATCTGGGCACCACCGTCCGGGGTGATGCTGATGATGTGCCGTCCTGGTAGCCCCAACACTCAATAACCGCAAACTGAATCGGCCCATGATATTGGAAGCATCTGCTGCGGCCAAACTCCCACATCCAGCCTCGCGGTAGTGCCAAATGAGCCTGGCCATTCGAGTTCGGGCATTCGTCACCAGCTAGTGGAGGTGCGGACTGCGTGTCGTCGTTCGACATTTAGCATACAACTGAGAATAACCGTCACCTGTCGGGCAATATAAAAAGCGCCAAAGGTGCGTGGCGGTCTAGTGCAGTATTCCAGCTCGCCAAAGTCCAACTGGCGACGCAGGACGGAAAAAGGCACTTATAACCACCACGGCCGCACCCCAGGAGGCGCCGCAAACAAACAGCGACCATGCAGAAAAAGCAAAACTTGCATGACACGTATATCCCGGCGCGAGCAAGGCAGATTTCCAGCCGCTCGCGCGCAGTTCGAAAGGGAGGTTGTCCGCGAGTGGAGTTGACCCGCCTATCATGTTGTTCCTGTTAGCGCTGGCCATTCGCCTCGCATCTCTGGGCTCAAGCTCAGCCCCGACATTTACATCATCGGCGGTTCATAAGAAGAGCGTTAAGAGATGGCTGGATCTCGAATTGCCTTTCGACGCTGTCAAGGGATCTCTAAGCTTAGCCTAAATTCCGTCTTTAAGCGCCTAGCCATCAGAACGAGCACCAGGTAGATAAATATAGTATATATTCCAGGGAGTGTATTGCATCTCCGTATGCCGTGACAGATGCAAACTGATTACTACCCCTGCGTTTATTGCTCATGGGTGTTGGACACCGTCTTAGTACCTGCCATCGATGGGTAGCACAACGCGCCCAGCAAAGAACCTGGGAACCGAGACGACCGCGACCCAGCTTAAAGAAAAAGCAAGGGAGCAAACGACGGCGAGCTGCTCCTTTTTGTCTCACCTTGTTGCTTGGCCAGGTTTGTGGAACACCCTACGCGAAGTCGTCGACCTCGAAAACTGAGAAAAAGACATATCAAATATATATTAAATGGTCAGGGGAAGAGAACGAAGAATTTGCGAGTTAGAAATTAAGAATTCTGTTATACTTTCACGGCATTTGGTGCACGCAAATTAGGCACGACCTGTTATGTAGTGTATACAGTATATGAGATACGACGATCTGATTTCAACTGCTTGTATTCCTATCCCCATAGGGCAATGCAATGTCGCCCAACCCCAATTTCCAGGACTCATGGATGACTGAGAACCCTTTTGTTGGGCTCCCACTGGCAATTGGAGATATGACGGTTGCTGGATACTATGAGTCCCACCAATAGTCGCTACACCATATTTTTAATGAGCATCCCCCATCTCCCAAGGCTGATATTGCTTCGAATCTAACAATGTCAGCCAGGAATGACGTAGAACGCAGCAAAGAAAGGATAGGTACCGAAGCTGACCAAAAGCAGACCTGCAAGTTGCAATCCAGTGGCCGAACAGCTTTTGCACCTATGGTTGACCGCATCTTCTGGAAGTCGTTTCAAGTTAATCTCCGTCTGCGTCGTCATTGGCCATACCGAATTTGGACACGCGGTTGGCTGGCCCTGATCCAATCGTGGAATCCGGGGATATTAACAGGGCTTGATATCGTCGATCCTTTGCTGTGTTGGTCACTGTTTGCCACCCCCAGCATCATCAAGACCCTGAATGGGTGGAATGTCGTCATTTTATTCCTTCGTTGTGTACATCTTCATATGGGACACCTCACAAGCAAGGGTGCTATGACGCCGTTGAGCAACCCAATATCAACCACCATGTCAGATCATATACAGTGACGCGCTGACGTCACATCACAATATCGTCTATATAGTAGGGCTCACGACCAGCGGAAGCTCAAGTTCCGCATACTCAAGTTCATTGATATCTACATACGCACTCTTATTAAACAAAATGCCCCTCTTCCACCGCGACTCCGTATCCAGCTCCTCCCGGTCGAGCGTCGACGACCCAAACACCCACACCCACACCCACCACAACAAAACCGGCCTCTTCGGCCACCATACCTCCCACTCCACCAGCGGACACAGCAGCGCCTCCGGCAGCGGCGCCCGACGGAGTAGTGTCAGCCACGGCCACAGAACCGGACACGGACTCTTCCGAAACAAGAACCCCGAAGACCCAGCCATCAGCGCAGCCCGGGACCGCGTCTTCCACGCCGAGGAGGCAGAGCGGGCTGCTGATAAGGCGCTATATGCCTCACGGCTGGCAGTGCAGGATGCGCGGAATAATGTGAAAGAGCTGGAAAGGGATGCGAAGGAGGAGTATGATGTCCTGCCCCGTGCCTAGGAACGGTAGAGCTAATGATATCAGGGCCCGACTTGCTAAGGTGAAGCAGCGGGAAGCGAAGGATATCTCGAAGCGTGCGAAGCCGCTTGGTCGTAAGTGATCTTCCTGGTGGTGATGGCGTTGCCTGATGTGTGAAGGTGTCTAATTATCGGTTTCAAGGTCATCACTGACTGGCGGTCTCTTAATTCGATGGCTTGGTTTGAATGAGATATTCGGATGTATACTATGCGACGCGCTATGATTGTATAATACCTGTGCTGTTTTTTAGCACCCTGCTCTATATTGAAATGTACTATATGGTCCTTATTTAATATTCTATTCACTGATTATACTGTTTTGTGTTTAATTACATACAGAATGCGAGGATCTGAGAAATCAACTCTGAAAATGACCACTATTGAGGCCATTGACAGCCGCATTTACACCTGTAGCCCCGGCAGCAAGCTATTCTGTTGCCCCAAATCTATAAGGAGGTCCTCATCTAGTTAAAGTTGGAAATTCGAGACCAGCTCGGACGATAAATACTCTCTCTCCATCTCAGTGCTATTGACGAGGACTTCGGCACAAACTTTGACAGGTGTCGCTCCCCAGCCGCCAGCTTCGATACTCTCTTCGTCCGAGTCCAGCTCTATCTCTTCACTACTGCCGTCATCATGTCCCAGCGCCAGATGATACGCTTTTGCTCGTTTTGGGCGGCCCAAAACCGGAGCCTTGATGCCGAATCCCGGTAAGGGCACGCCCCGATGTTTCCACTCCACCACTGAGTACGACACGGCGAAGATTTCCTCTTGGTCAGAGGATAGCTCGCGAGTGTGTTGTGCACCGGAGGATATCCGCGGCTGGAAACTGAAATCCAACAATCCTGGCACGGGAACATTTATGAGAGTGGATAACGGGATATTGACACCTAGGCTATTCGCAGTATTGGTCCCAGATGTTATGGTCCAGGTGGCACGGACTGCAGTGAGAAAGCCAGTGACCAAGTATGCATGATGGGATTTGGTGGTCTCCAAGAGCGCGCGAACGTCCTGCGCATAGTCCTGATCGTGCATGAGGGTTTCGAAATATTGCACTGGATTGGAAAGGGTGTATTGTTTTACCAGCTCGCTTTCTAGCTGCCTAGTTTCGGACGAACCTCGCATGATGTCGAACCCCAGGAGTGCAGATAGTTGGCCACTGATGCCTTTCTCGCGGAAAATTTGGATTGTTTCTTTCCTATTGATTGATACTGATGGCTCCGGAAGTATCCCGGGAATGATGTCGTTCGTGTTATGCGGTCTCTCTTCGGGTGTGAGAGGACGGCAAGGTGCGAATCTTGCCAGCGGCTGCGACTTGGTCTCAACTACTCGGCCAAGAAAGCTGTCTATCTCTCCTGCATCGATCAGTTTGTCAAGAATGAAATACTTTCGTTGAGCCATTGTGAAACCGAGCCTGTATGGTGGGCTCGGAATATTTGGGAGTTTCTGAAATGAGAATGATCAAACAGGCGATGGAAGGGGAGGGGAGGGCGAGGCTTTTAGCCCCGTCGACAGAGGGAGCCCTGTACTTTTTTGCTGCGAACCAGGCAATCCTCCTTGTCTGGACACTGCCACGGCAACGATCAGTTGGCGCGTAGCAGAATGACAGGGGTCTGCGCCACATCACGAACGAGGCTGCCATTCCGCACACTTACCCTTTCCCTTTTCCCATTTCCCTTTTGCAAAACGAAGAGTGGTCGTTTTGTCTCGTCGCATATTAGTTTAGTTCTATTGTCTGCACAATGCAAGCAATGAGCGCCGCGAATCTGGTCATAGAGATCAAAGCTCGATCGTTACCATCGTCGTTGACTTCACAGGATACCACACATCCTGCCCGCCTAGCATGGGCACTTGACCTCTACGCGCCGGGCGGAACAAGGGTACGCAGCATAACAGTGAAGGATCCTGTTCATGGTGAGCAACGCCGTCTCTGCCATTGGTATCTCGAGGAGCATGTCCAAAAAGTTCCTTATTCAGTCGGCCTTGCCAACGACGCGAGGGCGCTTTTAGAGGAGTATCCGAGACGGCTCTGGCGGGAGCTACACCTGGTAGATGTTATATCTGCTTGTGGAATCACGCAACAGGAAAGTCCAAAGCTGCTCACGCTTCAAATAAGCGATAAAGAATACCCCAGTGCAGAATCGAAGAACACCGTTCACCAGCTCTTCTGGGAAACTCTAGAGTATCTAGATTCTATCATTACATCTGGATGGAAAGTCGTTGTGGAGCGACACCTTTCTCCAGTGGATATCCCTGGATCCCTGACGACGCGAGTGCGGTCACGGGGGTCGAAGGAAGAGAATATAGTCAGAGTCAATGTCCTTCTCGTTATTGCGAGAGACACGTCGAGGAATCCCGAGACCTACAGTGATGTCCGCCCCTTCCTGGCTTGGGGAGCGCTCAACCAAGTTCAAAACGCCCTGGATGCAAACGGAGGCCCTCTGAAGCTCCATGTGGAAATAGCTCGTCCAGGCACCTTTGGCTCATTTAAAGAACATTTGCGACGCGCGAAAGAAACTCATGGTCCTGGGTACTTCCAAATAGTTCACTTCGATCTTCACGGTGCGGTGAAAACCGTGGCTGGCAAGAAGGTTGGCATTCTCTATTTTAACAAGGAAAGGTCGACCAGAACCAGACCAGTCCCAGCGTCAAGTATTGCTCGAGTGCTGAAGGAGTATGAAGTCCCACTCGTCATAATGAATGCTTGCGACTCAGCGAGAGCGGAAAGCGGCGATGATGCGAATATTGCCAACGTTTTTCACAGAAAAGGCAGTGCGCGAAATGTGCTGGCCATGTCGTTCAAGATCTCCAGCGCCGCCGTGGATCTTTTCTTGACCATCTTTTATCAATCGCTTCTTGTCGATAAGTTGGCATTTGCTGCTGCGGCGAGAAAGGCGCGACGGGTGCTAAGAATCAATATGCTGCGCCCAGCAAGGTTTGGGGTGCAACGAGAACTTCTGGACTCATTTGTGCCTGTGCTCTATGGGGCCGGCGACGGCTGTGTCTGCGTCGAGGACAGTCCACAGGGAGAGAATCCCTCAGCGGACGCCGCTTCCCTTCCCTCGGCCTTTGCAGCCCATTTGGTAGCCTATCCTGTAACGCCCGTTGGTCGAGATTTTGATATCTTACGCTTGGAGAAAGTGCTCTGTGAAAGGCAAGTTGTCTACCTCCACGGACTTCCAGGAGCGGGTAAAACTTGCCTCCTGCAATATGTTTCCGCGTTATGGCAACAGACGCGTTTTGTCGATGCTGTAGTCACGGTTGACCTGGTTAAGGAGAAGATAGACTCTGCAGCTGACTTCGCAGACCTTGTCTTAAATCAGCTACTACAAAACTACGCCCAGGTGGAGAGATCAAGCTTATGGAGCATCCGTTCCATGAATCTTCAATCACACGATCTTGATGCGACCAAAAAGATCATATCTAGAATACTTGATACATGCAAGGTTATCCTCATTATTGACGGGCTGGATATGTTGTCTTCTCCTTTCCGTGTTCCTCTTACGCTTGGCTCACGTCGTGTTGGCGCTTCGCCCCAAGAGGTTTTTGATGTAGTCAAGTCAATGTTTTTACTTGATATGGCCGACGAGCGTGAGACTAGAAGCCGCTTGATTCTAGCTGGTCGTCGTCCCGATCACGAATGGTTGAAGGGTTTCTTAGGCCCACTGACCAATGCCCAGAGCTATGAGCTGCAAAATCTCGAGCTGGCAGACAGCATCGAGCTGTCCCAAAAGATCCTTTGTGAGGCAGGCGAAGACATCTCTAAATGGGAGTCTGAGGATTTTGATTTTCTTGAAGCCATCATCGACCTGTTACAGGGTGTCCCACTCGCCCTTAAGGATATTCTGCCAATTCAGCAAGTGCTCTTGGTACCGTGGCGAGAGTTCTACGACCGACTACACAGTGGTTTATTCAATTCCTTGTCAGACTTGAGGGATTTTGGACCGTACCCTCTTGTCGCCGAACTTGACTACATCTCTGCGGAGCTTCCGCCCGATGTGTTCATGTTTTTCTTACTGTTCAGCTTGTACTGGGGACAAAGCGCTCCTCTACATGCATTCGAAAGGCTCTTTTTGGCCTCCACAACAAAGGAAGTGAGCACTCGTCAACGAGAGGAACTTGAGTCAGAGAGGTTTTCTAATTGGGCGGGGCCTCTGCTAGGCTTCGCTGTGGATCGTGGATATTTGCGTCTTGACTTGAGCTCTAATATCGCCTGGGTCCACCCACTGTTCAGCATTTACGGTCGAGCTTTTATACCGAAATTCAATCCCCATCTACAGCATCCTTGGATGCGAGAACTCGTCTTGAAGTCAATCCAATTGATACTGTTTACATTCAAAGAGTCGCAAATATCGCCAACAGATGAAAATGCCCCTGACTGTTGCTTGAAAGCTACCAAATACGGCGGCGACGCAAATGTGCTTACTTGCATCAAGCTGGGACTTGAGCTTTCGTCGACGATGGATGTTACCCATTGGCCGATCCACTTTCTTCAGAGCTATATCAGAGACCATGCATTGCCGATTTATGCAGCCCAAAGCTTTCTGGACTTTCTGAGCCTGTGCGTGGGGAAATCGAGCACGACATCCAGCCTTCGTTCCTCACCGTTGAAGTTCTGCATCGAGGCAGTGTTTTGTCTTGTGGGGAACACGCGGCTGTCCTTTTGGATACGTAAGCGAGGTGAACAGATCACGCTTCTATGCATCAGCATGCTGCAAGAATTGGGCCGATACCGCGAGTATGATTGTGACCCCGACGTCACGATGTCCCAGTTATTACTATTATCTGTTTTGTGGGAATATAGAGATGCGCTTGGCTGGCTTACCGAGTCTTTCGATGCAGCTGGATTGGCCAGTGATATCAAGAAAGATATACTCAACAACCGACAAGAAATTATGGAGCGGATCGGGAAGACGGCGATGGTCAATCATGCAACAGAATCGAAAGAAGGGGGATCCTCACCAATCCTACAAAACTTGTCCCAGACAGAATCCTTGAGACAGGATCTTGACATGTTGATACAATCCCTCGAGGAAATCAAATCTCCAAAATGGTGCCCGGCACTGGACGAGGATATGCAGAAAGAAAGCCATGGCGGCTCTAGCGACGGTGATCGATTCAAGAAGCTAATAAACACATACACACTGGGTGCTGCACGGGGCGATCTTGAAGAACTCTCGCGCGGCGGGCCCTTGGACGTAGAATGTGATGTCCCAAGTAAAGGCGATCTTCCTTCTCCGACTCTCCAAGGTCTTGAAGACGCTACAGACACGGGCGACTGGAACGAAGTATTCCATCACCATAGCAAGCTGTTATTCACTGCAATTGACAATATGAAATTTCACGAAGCCGACCAGCATATCAATGCCATTCGTCACATTTGCAAGATGACGGGCAATCTTGCCATACTAGGCCCGAGTTTGGACGGCTTGAAGGAGACGGTGGACCAGCAGCGAGCTTCTTTTCAATTATCGCTTAGCTTATTACCGTCCCTAGAAGGTGGGCACAGAGAGGGTTCTATACAAATAGAGAGGGAACTGTTGTCTTCCCGAGCTGATGCAGCCCCTCTGCACGCCTTCCTCGCAAACACCTGGTTCAATAGGATCGAAGCAGAGGAGGGCAGCGGTGGATATATTCCATCCCTATCGCGTGAAAAGATGCTCAGACTGGTGCAAAGACACGCAAAGCGGTTTAGGAACCCTCATGATTTACGGGCTATGCAAGGCCAGCTAGAGAGTTTCCTCGAGACCATGATGTCTGTCAAGCACGCGGTGGCAGAGAGAGAATTCACAGCTTGCTTCGCGCACCTTGGTAATCTAGAACAGATGCTTGAGAAAGACGAATATTTGTACGGTCTTTTTGAGGGAGTCGATTGGATAGAGAGGATTCGCCAGAAATGCCAGAAAAGGGAGTTCCTTGTTGATCGTATATATGCCCAGACTGCAGCTATCATTGATGGAGACTTCAATCGAGCGTATTCTATTATCGATGAGATCTCAAGTCTTGACCCGACTGACTTCCCAGTTGAATTGAGCCTGGACCAAGTCAGTACTATGCTGCGCTCCTCGACTGAACTTGAGTATCTCACGCGGGAGATAGAGGATGCAAAGACCTTGAATGACGCCAATAAAGTGAGAGAGTTGAACACGGACTACATGGACAAATGGAAAAAGAATAAACCGGCGCACATTGAAGAAGTAGAGATCTTCATTGCCCAGAATCTGAACTGGTTGATCCAGGAGTCAATGGATAACCTGCGATGGCAAGAGGGGCTCAAGCTTTGTGACGAGGCCTTGGAGTACTACATCTCATCGGACGAGGAGTCCCTGCTAAAGTGCAGTCTGTTCCAAAACCTTAGAGAGAGTTGTGAAGCTGGGCTCGTTAATCAATCACTGGCCGAAGCATAGGCTGTGGGGGACTTGTCTACAGGTCTTGAATACCTCAGTCGACTCGAAGGGCTACGGAGGCACCAACGATCAACAAAGGCCCAAGTTAGGCATAGCTTCTTAATCCTCAGCCAGCAACTCATCAAGTTTTTGAGTTGCTGCTATGGAGACGGATGTATACGCTGCGCAAGATGGGCACGTTGCCGGGAAAAAAACTCAAGTTTGTGTATTTGACAGCTCGAGAACCCAGAAAACCGGGGGCAAATTGCAGGGGCTTCACAAGATAACGCATGACCGAAAAGTATTTCAAGCGCCGGTTTGGATGTGAACACCATTGCGAGGGTGGATACTGCTTCCATCGTTGATCTAATAGAATTTATCAAGTATAAGAAGAGGATTCTGCGGCCTTTACACTTGATATGAGTTTCCTTCTCCTAAGGTAAAACCCGAGCATCATGTTTCACCTAGAGAATCATAATGTTGAACTCTCAAACATGTCGATACAAGTAAAATATAATAAAGTGTAGAAGTTTGTGGCTAAACAGCAGAGATCTCGCTCGCGCTATGCTAAAGGGTGGATACAGAGTATAATTAATTGGAGTGTTCTTTGAGACTAGGGCATATATCATCACAAGAGTATTATTTTGAGTATCGGAGTTTTATTTCGTTAAATGCGTGATGAGGTACTGTAATTTCCTCATTATATGCCTGGTCAGGCACGGAACAACAATAGATACAACGAAAGACTAGGGATCGGTTGACATTGACATAATCATACCATTTCTCTTTTATTTGTGATCTGCTTCATATAGGTAGTATGTTAAAAGGCTAATCACAACGCGTACGTCCAGTTAAATGTGAAGCTTTTTTTTTTTTTCTTTTTTCAAAGGTGAAATATGGCTGGGTACGGTATGAATAGCTGGAGGTTTGGATGGACTACCTATATGCACGGCCTGGATTTTTGTATGTCTATATTATTACAACCCTGCTGGTCTCCAGACCAGCTAAAGTGATTATAATCATTTTCTAAGATCCTTTACTTCGCAATTCCAATTCTTATGTTACTGACACGATTATATTCTCATTTATCTTGCCCCTTCTCCTCAAATTGCATCAGGGCTGTATGTACCAAGGTCGCCCTCAATTGCCGCCTTATAACAATGTCCGGGGGTAAACTTCAGCTGATTTCTATCATAGAACGTCGTCTGTCGGAGTCTCGCCTCTTTCCTCGCCGTGTGTCCCACCTTCTCGTGTCTTATTTCTATAGTGACCTAGACATCTACTTAGTCAACGTGACTACCCATGCGCATTTCTACTTCTGATCTACATCATACCATCTGGAGGATATTTTGAAGCCTAATCTAGATTTTAGCAAGAATTGAGTTTGGACTTATCTATAAAGCTGTCAAGTTACACAAAAGGGACCAAAGTAATGCACGGCCATAATTTCTGGTGAGAAAAAAGGGGGTAGATATTAGGGGACAGATAAAATAACAGCTTATATCCAAGTATACACAGAATCTCGACAGGGTGATGAGAGAAGATGGGGAAGTTAAAAAGAAAAAAAAAAATTAAAGTAGTAACGATAGTTCTTACATATCAACCATACATTACCGCAAATGATATAGGAAGTCGGAGCAACAACCTTCAATCTCCGAGAATAACGCAGAGCTTTTTGCTATTTCCACGGTTCAGAATTATGACTCTTCGAGATGCCCATTACGGGTAGATTGTTTCTTATTCGACGTGCATTTAGAAAGCCCGCTGCAACTGAATTGAGACCGGCAGACCGGTCTTTCCTTAGTAAATTCAGATATATTATAGGTTTTCTATATTTACTCCACTTACAGGTCTACGAGACTGTACTAAACTGTAGTAATATAATTTCTAAAACGTTAGGACTACCCAGCGGTCTTCTGGCCTTGGTTTATAGCCTTTCCAGTCCTGTGCGGGGGCCTATGTCGGGCACTGGGTGATCCTGTCTATGATTCTTGGAGGAACATGCATGGAGAAGAACAGCTATTTACCGGTTCTCCCTTCTCTCTATTAACCCACTCGGCCTTTTCAAGCTACTTCCATGGCTTTATACGGCCACTTCCTGAAGACAAAATATCCCGCAAGGTAAATCATTCCTCCCACTGCAAAAATCGCAGAATAGACCGCAAACCCCATCACATAGTCTGGGGCCTCGGCAACCGTAAATATATACGTTCCATATAGCTGGGCTAGGTTTGCACAGCCATTGATGACCGCCAACGAGATAGCCCTGACTTCGGGCTGCACAGGCCCTAGCACCGAGCTTGTGAAGGTTAGTGTGAGTGGATTCCCGGACCATACAGCTGCGTTTATGAAGCAAAGAAGGATGTATCGCCCTGTCGGGCCGCGGATGGCTGTCGCTAATGCGCACATCAGAGTTCCGAAGGCGAAGAGTACGAATGAGGCGTAGAAGCCACGATATCCGGGGTAGCGATCGGCGAGGATGCACATCGGAATGGCGATTGCCAGGGCGACCCCGTATAGAGGGGCGGTCATATATCTATGCATGTCAGCGTGGGAATAGGCGCATTGACCGGCCGACTCACTGCGCATCATTGCTGCTGTACCCTAACAGCTGGACGAAGCCGGGGTAGAAATACGCCAGTGACATGGATCCGATGACGGTCATGTATCCGGCGGCTAACAGCCAGACACGCCAGTTGGCAACGGCTATCCAGAGGGCTCCCCAGTGTCCAAGCTGGTGTTCAGGGGCGTCATTGCGGCTGGTTATTCCGTCGGCAAGGAGGCGGTTATATGCCAGTTGACGCTCTTCTGGGGACAGTTTCTTGGATGTCAGGGGATAGTCAAGGAGAATGAATGGGATAAATAGTCCGACGGCGACCGTCAATACGCCTTCGATAATGAACAGCCAGCGCCAACCGGAAATGCCATATCTCCCGTCAAGGCCGTCTGTAATTGCGCCTGCAACAATGCTTCCAAAGGCTCCTGAGATAATGCCCGCACTGTGGAAGACGACAAATCGTTTGCTTTGCTCGTGTCTGCGACACCAGCTGGAAATCAGGAACATCAAGGCCGGCTATACAGGTCAGTAAATGAAGAACTAGGCCTCCCAAGGTGCTTACACTGAAGCCAGCTTCGGCAATTCCGAGAAGAAACCGCATAGCTACGAGCTGCTGCCATGTTTGCACAGCTGCAAGGATCGCACAGACACTGCCCCAGAGGAGCATGATGGCCGGGATGAACAGGGAGGGTCTCGTCACTGATAATATCATATTCGCGGGAACTTCGGCAACGACATATCCGACCTGGAAAAGCACGACGGCGAGATAGTAACGGCTATCATCGATTTCGAGGGCGTCACCCATGCCAGCAACCCTCGCGTTGCCGATATTCGATCTGTCCTGGTCATCATTAGAATAATATTCCTATCGCTGAGAAACAACTTACCATGTAGGATAATAAGTAAACAATCCAAGCCGCAGGAAGTAAAAATAAATCGATCTTCCTCAACAGCTTTTTTTCCTCCGCCGTGTTCTCTTCGAAGTCGAAGTCATGGACTTGTGGTGTACCATCCTCAAGTACCTCCATAGAGGGTTTTGGTGTAAGAGTCCCAGACTTAGTATCCATTTTTTTGGGGGGTTGAATGTAGAAGTTTGATAGATGGAGGCCGATTGTGATTGGGGATGCTGCAAGACTTTATATGCACACTGGATGGAAACATGGGGTAGCCCCGGTCCGTATGGGACACTCTGGGGAAACTTGGAGAAGCCTGAAAATCTGCTGAAAGCGTGCTACCCGCTGGACTGCTAGTTAGAAGGTGTCTTGGCCGGCACTACGCAGTCGGTGTGGGTGAGTCTGTCTCGGTGTAGACGGCGTGTCTCGGCCGTGACGCCGAGCTCCTTCTCCATGACTGGGATGCATTCTCGCGACATTATTGCCTCAACACCGTTGGATTTCTATGCTAACAAGGAAATGGAAGCGATTATCCTATGTACACCATACGCTGCGTTATGAGTAGCTGATTCCTAGACGGAGGGAACCCATATGGGCCCTTTGATGGGCTGATATTTCGCAGTGCCCTCTACCCCTAGTTCGTCTAGGTTATTATTCCCACTCAGGCTTCCACGATAATGAAATTTATCCTAATATAAATCAACCTCTTCTATCTATCAAGCCGCAAATCCCGTGCCCGTGCTCTCTGTAATACCCCCATCGACCACCAAAGCATGAGAAGTAACATATCTACTCGCTTCACTACAAAGCCAGACAACAGCATTTGCCACATCCTCTCCAGTCCCCATCCATCCCATAGGACAATTGTGGTCCAGAATCCTCTTCGCTGCCTCTCTATCACCTGGGTCCTCGCTGCGCGCGAAATTGTCCACGAGCGGAGTATACATCAGCCCAGGCACCACACAGTTACTCCTGATGTTTTCCTTTCCGTACATAACACCAATTGCCTTGGTGAAGCGAATGACGGCGGCCTTTGCCGATGCATATGCGATTTGGTGCTTGCCGATGTAACGTAACGCCGTAATAGAAGCGTTGTTGATAATGCCCCCTCCGCCTTGTTGTTGCATTATAGGGATAACGTGATGGTATAGCCGGTAGACGGAGGTCAGATTAAGATCCAGCTGGCGAGTCCATAGATCCTCAGTCATTGTCGCTGGGTTTCCGGCTGCTGTTTGGCCGACATTGTTGATGAGAATGTCAATGCGTCCGTGTCGTTGCATTGCGTGGGCCACCAGTGCCTCGACGTCAGAAGGGTTTGTGACGTCTGCTGCCATAACATCGACCACGGCGCTGGGATTCTCGTCTAGGAGACGTTTCTTTGTTTGCTCCCCTGCATGCAGGTGCAAGTCGCAGCCGAATATCTTGGCTCCGTTTCGGGAGAGTAGACGTGCGGTGGCTGCACCGTTGCCCCAGAATGTGCTGTCCTGGGGCCCGACTTGACCAAAGCCCGTGATGAGCGCGACCTTCCCTGTGAGATCTGGGTATATGGGGAATACCTCGGGGACTGGTGGAGCTGGAGCTGACATTTCGGCGGTTGGTGATCGGTCTGTGCAAATATGGTCAGATATTGCTGTACCGCTTCTTGGTAGAGTAGAAGTATCAACGTTCAGAGCCAAGACGATAAAAACTGTATTAAATATGTTCACACGATACAAGTGTACGGCCGACTTGCCGGCGATCCTCCTGGGACTTTTAAGCGTTCAACTTGAGAGTCGGTCAAACGGCCGAGTATCGCGGCGATACTCGGCGTCAAGCCGAGAGCGATGGAGGCGGATCATGAATACAGCACCAAGTCTCGCTTCCAGATTTCAAGTCGACGTTTGTTATTTAGTTCCTCTGGTCCACATGCTTGGTCCCTGATCATTCCCACTGTCAGCTTCATTACGAGAACGATCAAGATGCAAACGACCAAGTATCCTCTTTCACCTCCCAGCCTCGAAGAGCTAGCCGACAATCTACAGGCACCTCTAGCTGCAAACTACGAGCATTCAAGTGTTAGCATTGTCCAGTGCCCTGACCTCCGCCAGGCTCCATTCCATCTCGCCTCTGAAGGACTCTCAGGCAACGAGAAAATCGCAGATATCGGCGGGCAAGGACACCTATTTCCTCGTCCTCTACTCGATAGGATATACACTATGGATAAAATTGCCGAGGCCATGGACATGAGCCCTTCGAAAGGAAGTCTGATCGGCGCAGGCGCTGGGCCTTTTCATCGTGTCGGACGAAACTGTGAGCTGTCGCCAAACATAAGCTGGAAGCAAGGATACGAGAATGTCGACAACAAAACATGCTTCGCACAGATTAGCCCTAATACCGGGGACGTTAGTATCAAGAAGAGTCCGTCCTTGGAGTGTGCCTTGATGGCAAATCTGTATGGATCAGAAAGTGAGCCCGGGCCGGTTATCAAGATCACGGCTCGCAAGAGGAGAGGACAAGAGAGGAGCTTTACCGAGTGCATTCGCAAGGCACTTGTTGCAGCCTTTGGCGATTTGAAGACGATCAGTCTCGGGGGTGCATTCCTTATCAAGACTGGCAAGGCGAGATATCATGTTATGCCCGACTTTCCGCCGGACAATGAGCTACCGTTTAAGGACTCCAGACAGTTGAATGACTGGCTGACGTACCATGACTTTGACGGGCCCATCGTCTGTATGACTGTTCTCCATTCATCTGACCCTGGCAAGGCAATGGGTCTGCGGATGGAGCATACTCATGGCTACTCGCCCCAGGGGGGTGACTGCGGCGGGCATTACCACTATGATGTGGATGGTGACGAGAATATTGAATACGAAGGATACTTTAACACAGCCAAGGCTATTTACCGTATTGATATGCCCTCTGTGAGACTAGAGCGTGACTTGCATGATTAGCGCTCATGTTGGTGAAGCAATCTCACGCATGAAAATATAGCTATGCCATATCGTAGAACAAAAAGGCGGCAGTTTGTGGCCAGCTCCAGCAGGTTTATCCTGGCAAGTAAAACAAATTCCTCAAGAAACCCCACAGTCACTGCTTGTAGCTTGGAGACGGCGCCCGCACCGGTGCTCGGCCGAGTCGCCGACCCTACGCCCGGTTCATTCCACAGCCCAGGAACATACGGCGTACCCCAGAGAGAGTTCGCCGCTTTACAGGGTCTCTATTAACAGGTTTGCTAGCTCTTGAATTAGTTTTGGATCTATATCAATCCTTAAGCTCGGCCGCCCTTGGGTATACCGTCTACGCCCCTCTCAACTTTTCGTGGAGGTGTTCTGCGTCCTAAATCACAATACTGTCTAGTTATAAGATTATTTATATTAGGATCATTTCTTTTTTTTATATCTATTAAACCCTGGGCGGGGGTCCTCATGGCCTGGCGTCGCGTCATCATCCAAGATATTCTGCCACCAGGTATACATAATGAAGGGAAGAACACCACATCCTTTCGGGAAGGAATGCTTATGATCATGAGCCCAGAACACCAGAACAGGATGGCCCCGCCAACTAATTCCCTTAGTCATATGGAGTCCCCAATTTGCGGGTCGATTGGAGTTGCTTGCTCTTTCTCCAACTCTTCGAGGGAGCTGTTCATCGCGACACCATGCCACCATCTGCAATGTCTCCAGTTGCCCGACAAACTCAAGAATCTACGTCTCCTCGACCGGTTCGAAAGGTCAGGGCCTGTACGGGATGTAGGAGTCTCAAGGTAGCTACCCTCAGCAATTATACGCGACACGCCGACTAATTTCCCCAGATAAAATGCAGGATGCCCCAGCATGGGCCGCCATGCGCGAGGTGTCAATCAAGGACTCTCCAGTGTCGTGTAGACAGGAATCCTCAATCCTTGCTTGACGAGAGCGATAAATGGAGGAGAACTGTATCTGGGAACGTCTCTCAGCTCCAGACAGCCGTCAATGTGCTCCTGAGGATGGCTGAGCTGCCTGCCCTCGCCTCGTACGATCGCTCGGATAACGACCAAACGCCAGCAGCAGCAGCAGCAGATGAGTCTGATGCATTAATGCAGCCGGCTCCTATCGCAACGGCCGCGGATGAAGTCGAAACAGACATATATGGTTCCCCCATCAACTCCCTCTACCAGCTCACGCGCATGCCTTCTACCGATGGTGGGAGTAATGGTGCGGTATCGCAAGATATCGAGCCCGCTAATGACTTCATTTCACGGGGGTGCATTGGAGAGAATGCTGCGCGGCATCTATTTCGGCGGTTCGTCGACCGGTTCGATCATTTCTGCTATGGGATTATATGCCCTCATGAGACGCTGGATAGCCTGCGGCGCAGCTCGACGCTCTTGACTGCTGCGGTATGCACAGTGGGTGCTCTACATGAGGCAGAAAGGTCGACCGATTTCACGGTCTGCCATAAGGAACTTTTGAGATTGTTGTCGACAAGGATGCTCACGTACCGATATTCAGTCGATGATATTCGGGCGCTCTTGGTCGCCTCTTACTGGCTAGGAAATATCTCCTATACACTTATCGGTCATGCGATTCGGACAGCGACGATATTGAACTACCACCAGGCGTATTTTATGGCAATCAAAGGCGATCAGAGAAGTTTTGAAAGGGCTAGGCTGTGGTATGTTCTCTATATCATGGATCATCATTCAAGCATCCTGTATAGCCGCCCTGCCCTCATCTCTGCCAACCAGGAACCCCATCAGCAGTGGGAGCGATTTATTTCGAGCGAGCACGGCGGCGAGCCAGATGTACGCATGTCAAGCCAGGTTGCGCTTTATCATATCATCGCGAAGGTCAAGGACGTCTTCGGCAGCCAGTCCGCTCAGCTCCTACCAGACCATTGCCTGTACCAGCTCCGTGGATATTTCTCCGATCTCGATCGATGGTATATGGCCTGGGGGAACCGAATGAGTATGCCTATCCAACACGATCCTTTCTCTGCGTCTGGGCATGGCTAATCGTTTCCTAGAAACAAACCCCTACGTCGGGAACTTCCCCGTAGACGGGGCGATTCTGCATTACCACTTCGCACGCCTGCATATGTGCTCCTATATATTCCGCGGCATCACGAGCCAGACTGCTCAAAATGTTTCGGATCAGGTCAGAGAGTATGCCAGTTTGGCTGTTACGTCAGCTACTGCTGTTCTCGAGTTGGTACTGGAACGGGACGACTTGCGCAATGCCCTTGTCGGAATGCCAGTCTACTTCCACGGCATGATTACCTTTGCAGCTGTTTTTCTCATCAAGGCTGCTACTACGAATTTCTTGGGTCTCACCACTGTCGATGCGGATGCGGCCTTTGCCTTGCTGGACAGGTGTGTCCGGGAACTGCGATCTCAGCGTGCGGCTCGCCAGCACTTGATTTATCATATTAGTCGCGGGCTAGAGGAAATGATGGCCAGGGCGAGGCCAACCATGAATGAGAATGGAGAGTCCGGCGGTATAACAGCAACACAAGAGGAAGTGGCAGCTATTGACTCGCTGTTTGCGCTGGATACGTTTGATCTTTTGCGGTATCCGCTTGAATATAACGAAGATGTTTTGGCGAATGGGGACTACCAGTGGGCTGTTTAGTACAGTATAAATATTTATTTAAGAGTCGGCATTCGTTCATTGACCCGGTAGTACTTGCTCTTGTGGCTGTGGTGTAATACTCTCCCAGGCATGCTTTACTATTAGTAGACTCTATATACATACACCATTTTCTACTTCTTATATAACCGCACTGCTCAGGAACAAGGCTATCGTCCTTCTCGCTGTATAATGGTGGGTCGTCAGCTGTGTCAGCGGAGATAGCAAGGCTTTCCCAATGAGGCAAGTCCGAGAGAACATCCGGGATTATATAAGCGGACATAAACAAACATAACTATTTACCCAGCTTTAATTCATTGGGATTGTCATATTTCAGTAGTAACGAGTCGAGGTTGTGAGTGAATCTCATCGTCCACCAAATATAGTAATTCCAGCGAATATGCAATTAACCACAGAGCAACGCACAGCTCGTATTGACGATTTCGGACCCCGAGTCGGAGCTTGGTATGGCCGAGAGCACCCAAAAGACGCTAACAGGAGTTTCCTGGTGAGATTTTAGTTTGCTGGTGCTGGTACCTAATCTGAGTTTAAGGGGACAGAGTATTCCAGCATCATATTTCTAATGGTTTGTAATTGGCAAGATATCTAGCTACCTGTTAAGGTGCTGTCGAGTATCGCGTGCCACAGGATCCTGCAGGATAGAATACACAAGCACCTAACCTCGTCCATAAATACCCGAATATCCCCGTCTCAATTTCGCTCTCAATCGATCCCTTTTCACTTTCAATCATCATGACCAAAACAATCCTCATCCTCGGCGGCTCCTACACAGGAGTCTCCACTGCCCACTACACCCTCAAACACGTCCTCCCTTCACTCCCTTCCACAGATTCAGACCCCTACCAGGTCATCCTCGTCAGCCCCTCAACAACTCTGTTCTGCCGCCCCGCCAGCCCACGCGCTTTAATCTCCGACAGCTTCTTCGACCAGTCCAAACTCTTCGTCCCGCTAGAAGAGCAATTCACCCAGTATGACAGCAACAGTTTTAAATTCATCCACGGCCACGCCAAGTATCTGGACCACGAGAACCGCAGCGTGACTGTATCTTTAGTCGCCGACAAATCCACCTCAGAGACAGAAGAAGGGTCAGAGATTCAAATCGCATATCACGCGCTAATAATCGGGACTGGCTCTTCCACCCCGTCACCGCTACTAAGTCTGAACGCGGACGGAAAAGACGAATTGAAAGCGCAATGGGAAACATTCCGCTCTGCACTGCCTTCTGCGAAATCAATCGTCGTCGCGGGCGGTGGTCCAGCTGGGATCGAGACGGCTGGTGAACTGGGTGAGCATTTGAATGGCCGCGCTTGGTGGTTTAATTCCAAGCTTGAAGATCCGAAAGTCAAGATTACCGTTGTTACATCAGGCTCGGAGGTGTTGCCGTATTTAAGGCCTGAGATTGCCAGGGTCGCAGAGGGGTTTCTTGCGAAAGTTGGTGTGGAGGTTATCAAGGATGTCAAGGTTGAGTCCGTTACGCCTTCCGATGCAGGGAGGAAAGAGGCTGTTGCGGGCAAGGCAGAGGTGAAATTGAGTAATGGAGAAACTATGCAAGCGGATCTGTATATCCCTGCGTATGGGATGGATCCGAATACGGAGTTCGTGCAGCAGAGTCTGAAAGGTACTGATGGACGGGTTACTACCAATGCGGAGACACTGAGGGTTGATAAGGCTGGCCCACGGGTTTATGCTGCTGGTGATGCCTCGGACTATGCACGGCCTGCTATCCCTATTATCGCGCAGGCGATTCCGGTGCTGTGTGCGAATTTGAAGCGCGATTTAGAAGCGGAGGCTGGACAGCCGGTGTCTGGGGAGGATCGGCTGTACAAGGTTGATCCCAGAGAGACGCAGCTGGTTCCCATTGGGCAGAGCAAGGGCGTTGGTGCTGCAATGGGCTGGAAGGTGCCGAGTTTTCTCGTTTGGCTGATCAAGGGAAGGGAGTACTGGGTTGGCATGGTTGGGGCGACGTGGAGTGGAACGCAGTTTGCCAAAGCATAGACAAGTCAATATGGAAGACCACTAAGAGACAGCATATCTAGCTAGCTACTAATCTAATGATTGACCAAATCAGGTCCTGGACTGCCATGTATGCCCAGGTGGCCGACTTTGCGAGTTGGAAGGCCCGGCTGACGACTCGGGAAGGGTTGGACTGGCCATGAGGGTCTGAGACGGGTAAGGACCAGGCGTATTGACCGACATTGCTATGCCGGGATAGGTCGTCGTAGAAGCTGAGACCTGGTTCGCGATGTTCGCCACCACCAGGTTCATGTTTCCCTGACCAGAGCGTTGCGCTCGATGGAAATTCTGGGTCGTCGTGATTATCGTATCTGCTAAAGGAAGCCGCACCACAGGTCCAGTAAACAAATCTGCATGGTTCGTCTGAGTAGGATCTTTATATCCATGGTATATTCTGAGCGGCCAGGTATGCTCGGCTATACGGAGAGTCGGCATGCCATTTTCCTGGCCCACAATCACCCTCACTGTTCCTGCACTACCGGGGACCCATACTGGGATGTCTATCCATTGAATAAACCTCCAAGCAAGGGAAGCGTGTATCTTTCTGCGAGCCTCTGCGAGATAGTCGCGCATAGATGGTGCATGCCAGCGACACACCACGAATGTTTCTAGGGGCTCGTCGGCGGGGAAACATCTGGACATGGTGCCCAAAATCAGAATTATCATGGCCGAGACATGTCTGCTAAAGTTGTGGAACACACTATCGTCAGTCGTGAGCGGCAGCGGTGGATAAACCGGAGCCAGTATGCCGGTGCGCCGTCCGAAAATGACGATTGCAAGGCCGTTTACCGGGATTTGCCAGACCAGGCTGTTGGGTGCCGTCGTTTGATGCCCTGTTATCAGCGTATACGGATGGCCGTCGGTGATTTCGTAATGGCTATCGTCGGGCTGAGGGATGTACTGTCGAGAATAGTAAAAAGTGGACATTGTGAGGATAATTTATAAAATGATGAATGAAATAATAGACACTGTGGTTGAGAGAGAGCAGGACAGACGGAGGGAAAGTGGAATTGTTATTAACAGACGTGCATCGCTGCTTCCCTGATGCTTCGTTGTTTAGGGCAACTTCGCTACATCCCACCTTCCAGCGGCCACGCTGCTGCTCTCCAAAACAGCCTACTCACCCAACCAGTCTGTTTTTGATCTGCGTGTGGCCCAGACTTGGCTAGGTATCCCTTGACAAACTCTTGTTCGCGATGCTCAAGCTGATCCTGGGTGAGCCGTGGCTTCCCTCCATCCAGTCTGTTATCCGGATCACTCTCAGAGTCGTAGGATGGGAAGGGATGAATACCCAAGACCGATGCCAGAGCATCGGACTTCTGGAACAGCCACCGGCCATGCATGAGACCGTCCTTCCACTTTGGTGGTAGGCTTTTATACCCCAGGAGAGCGCCAAGCAGAGCACCAGCCACAGTAGCATTAGTGTCTGCGTCTCCCCCTTGGAGTACCAGCGACGTAATCAGTTCTTCGAATAGACCCACCGGCAATTCGCCAGAATTAACGCGCCTAAGACCTTGCCGCAGGACGAATATACCTGCTCCTAGGGCTTTATAAACGTATCCCATTGTCGTCCCGGCGTCTAGCTCAAGCTCCTCGAGGCTCTCGGCCGATACATGCTTTTGGTACTCCTCATGGTCGAACTCAGGATACATAGCAGCTTCTTCGACGGAGAGATCTTGCCTGCTGATCCATTCTTCGAAGCATGCTTCGGCTGAAGAAATAGATCTCTCAAGGTCCGTTTCCACCCGCAGCTGGCCGTCTAGAATATCACGGATGAGCGCGGTAACAAGACCGCAGGCGACAAGACACCGGGGATCGGGGTGAGTGATGCTGGAAAACTCAGCGGCCATGTCAAATGTCTCTGTTTGAGTCTTTCCAAGGCATATTATTCCAAGAGGGGCCGTTCGCATCAACGATCCGTTCGCGGCAGACGTATAGTTGGAGGCCTTCCAGTGTCGATACGCCGTCTCTGCAGGGCTATCCACGAACCGGCGGTCGCAAACAGCCTGATAATTAGCCAAACCCGAAAAGCTGGGATAAACCTACTCTTCCAACTGTTCTACCCAGTCCCAGTGGTAATCTGTCCAGACACCGTAGACCCTGTTCGCACCAGAACTGCAGCCGTCGGGCGAAGTCGAGCGAATCCAACCTCCCATTATGCAGATAGGACAACACTATGAGCAGTGCGTGGTCGGTATCATCTGTCCAGGCAGTCTATTCCATCAGTATAGTCGCTTCATATAGCCAAGATACTGACTTTAACAAATTTATCTAGACAGTTAGACCAGCCAGCTGTGGAGTGTGGAGTACATACTGCGATGTCCATCATTCCTGAGCTCCGTCGCCGGGTCCACCAGCTGGAACCTGCGATCTGGGTATGCTGCACGAAGAAGATCCTTGGAGAGGAATTCTGCCTGCATTAACTTCTGCGGGGTATTGTCTCAGGCTACACACCTGTATACAGCCCAACTGCGTCTCCTAGAGCACCACCGAATATCGTCCCGCGGACCCGATCGAGCACCCCTTCGCGGATAAAGGGGTGGATTTCGAGAAAGCTCAAGTCGGATTGAGCCATGAGTGAGAGCTAGGATGATTGAGAGGTCAGGGAGATCGGAAGAGATATTTGTAGATCGCGGCAGAGTTTGTGCGGGGGGCGGGCTGTGCTCAACACGAGGCAGCAGGCAGCATTGTCCACAATAGGTTTGACTAGGCCTCAACCTTATTCCATATAAAGAAACTGGAATTCGCTGTACATCTACCGACTCTTGTACCATCGTACGTTGTTGGATCGCTATGCTTGGGATTGGTAACTAGCGGTGTGTTTCACGAAACTGGCAGATTGATCCATCATCTATCTACAATGACCAGAAAAGGTAAAAGCATCGCTGATAGAAAAACACGGAGCAGAAGAGAAATACCACCATATACCTCATCTAGTCCTCCTCGGAAGACTATCCTCCGCATCAGATTCCAGCGCCGGCCGACTGATATGCTTATACTTGTCCACCCCCTAAACCGTCAGCACCACGCAATCAACCATAGTACGGTGGCAGGGAGACATACCTTGAAAAGCGCATACAGATAGGGGACATGGATAACCTCACTCTCAGGCCGATCCCCACCCTCATTCGCTGTTGTTTTCTTCTTCGGCTTAATCCAAACATTCCCCAAAAACAACCCCGTCACCAAACTAATCCCCAGAATGGGCATTATCGCAATATAAGCCCACATAATCGCATCCCTACCCGCAGTCCTCACACCCTCCTGCAGCGGGCCAGGCAAGCCATTCACAAAATCCAAACTCCCCGCTGTCTCTGTCCCTGTGCCCCCTCCCCCTCCGCCCCCTAAGCCCTGCGCCGATACACCACTGAGACCAGGAATAGCCGCAATCCCAGAAGATAGTTTATTATTAAACACACTCCCCATAATGGTAATCCCAATGGTCCCCCCAAACGGCAAGGTAAAGCGCATAAGCGACAGCGCAGCGGCAATACGGTTCGGCCAGACACCGCTTGCGTGCAGTGTGGCGGGCATCATGCGCAAGCCGGTCCCTGCGCCGGCGAGTATCATCATCCCGTTTAAAATGTTTGTGCGCTGGGCGTGGATGGCGTAGGTAACCAAGGCGATTCCGAGGGTTTCGAGGACTGTTCCTAGTGTCAATGGGTGGAAGGTTTGGGCGGGGTAGGTGTTGCAGAGGAGGATTGCTAGGTAGACGCCGGCTATATATTAGATAAAACATGTTAGCTGGGGATGTTGAATAGGGAAGTATGATGGGACGCACCGCCTAGACCTGGGATGTAGTAGAGTAACTGCACGCCGGCTTTACTAGCGGGATAATTCTCAACGAGGGTGAAGTATATCCCGACGTAGTAAAAGACAGAGTACATGGCCGCCCCGGCAGCGAACTGCAGGATAGCGAGCCAGAGTGTATCGAGTCTTTTGAACATGCTGTACGGAATCATAGGTGTTTGAGTGGGGAATATGCGCCGTAGAGCGCCGTTCTCGAGGAAATACTCGTACACGAAGAAGAGGACGAAACAGACACCGCCGACAACGATAGGGGCTAAGACCTGGGCAGAGACCCAGGGGTAGGAAGATCCGCCCCAGGATGTGCCGAGGATTATGAGGCCGACGCCGAAGACGAACAGGATGGTGCCGATGATATCGAGGGTTGCAAGGGCGGGGAGGAGGGAGGATAGTCGCGTTCCTGAGCGAGAGTAGGTGCCTTGCTTGAGCTCGTTGCGTAGGACGATGTAGATGATTATATGCGAGACGAAGGCGATCTACACTCTTAGTTATGCCTTGGATGCGGGTGGTGTACACACCGGAATTGATATAACGAAGCAGTAGCGCCAGTTGGCCTGAGAGGTTAGTTAGCTTGCCTTCATTTAACATGTAGAGCACATACATCAGTCAGATATCTAGTCAGATATGAATGTTAGCTTAATCAAGAGAATGTAGGGCAGACGTACCCTCCAACAACGGGCCCAATGGAATACGCAACACCACTGACAATAGCGAAAACCGAATTGTTCTTCGCATTCTCCTCCAGACTCACATTATCCGCCAGGATAATCATGACAGTGGCCATGAGACCTGCAGCGCTCACACCCTGAAGCGCACGACCAAGCAAGAGCATGCCCCAAGTCTGCGCCGCCGCACACAGGGTACTCCCAATAAGCATAAGCAAGGTGGCAAGCTGCAGCGCAACATGACGCCCAAAGACATCGGCGAGCTGACCAAAGGTCGGAATGAACGCTGTCGACGTCAGGGTAAAAGCCGTGACAATCCAATTCAGCTCGCCCAGTTGGTCTGCTTCGTTAGCGAGAACCAAGACACCAAGGGGGGGACATACCGAAATGTGACGCGATAAAGGGTACCGCGGTCGCAACGATTGTCAAGTCAATACTCGCAAGTAGATACGGTAGGAATAGACTACCGATGAGCTTCCAGCGGTAGATTCGCATTCGGCGCTTCTCTGCTGCAGCTTCAGGGGAGGGTTTCTCGTGCAGGACGCGTTGCGAGTCAAACGAGGCCAATGCCCCATCTGGATGAGAAAAATCATCAAAAGGATTAGGCTGCGTATTGCCTAGAGGAATGTCCTGGGCAGGCGTTTCCGCCCGCGAGGCCTTTATTTTCTTGTAGAGATGGAAAGCCATGGTGTTTGTGAACCGACAGCGACATCACCCGGGGCAGTCAGGCATTATAAGCAACAGAATCCCGGATCTCGCACTGCGCCTCAGCTGGGAAAGGTCCAGGGATCGCCAGCTGAAGCGTTGGCAACAAAATCAAGCCTCCAGGAGGCAGACAAGCATTGCACAACACCAACAACGGCACAGGATTGGCCGCCCAGATGATAGTGCAGTACGGATACGAAGGCTTCCCAACTAGGCTACCGTCAAGTTACTCCGAGCATACTGCTTGTGGTTTAGACTGGGCTGTCCCCACATGTCCGTCGTTGAGTAGGGCTGTGCAGGCGAGGCGAGCCTTTCCCAACTCGGAATGTGTGTAGTCGCTGCGCTTCCAGGGTGGATTAGCCAGAGCTTGTTTATTCGCGTGGCGCATCGTGTTCGTCAATATCTGCCGGAAATGGCCATTTCGCCGTCGATGCCTCGTTTACACTGATTATCATTCGCGGTAGCTGGTCGTGATTGCTTAACTCGACAGGGCTGAGTATTTTTGGCGAACGGCTGAAAGGTTACTACATTTACGGTCTCAGGCAAGCTACTGGTGTCGTTGTTCGTCATAATTAAAATGCATTAGTCTAGAAAAGCCCTGGCGTGGACACCAACAACCAATCGCAAGAATTTAGTCACATCGTGGTCCTTGGGCTCTTTACCGTGTGGCTTCCAGCAGTGACCAAATCCACTGTACTCCTTCCAAATAACAGTCATCCCCAGTCCATCCCAACTATCCAGAACCTCCCGCATCCTCTGCCCGTGTCCAATCCACGTCGTCCGGTCCTGGTCTCCGTGGGCCAGAAATATGGGCGTTTCTAGCTGTAACGTGGACTGCGGATCACACACATCAACATCGAGAACACCACGGACCAGTTTCTGAATCTGAACCTTGACAGAGCCTGTTTCCTTTATTTTGTGTCCCTTCTCTACAGGAACAGCATTAGCCTCTCTAATCAAAGCCGCCATCTCCGCTTCAAAAGGTAACCAGCCACCCATCCCAATAAACCCACCAAGGGTCTGCTCCATACCCAACAGCGTAAATAGCGCCGCCGCAGCACCCTGCCCTAGCCCGCCGATAATCACACGGTCATACCCGCGGTTCTTCGACGGGCGATCCAAATCCTCTAGCCTCCTTGCCTCCTGCGCGATAAGAACCCTCAAGTACGCGCTCGTTTCCTTAAGGCCTGGAATCTGCCCATCAGTGTCCACATTCGGGTCATAGGGATCCCTGACACGAAACCACTGGTACGGTCCTTTATGCTGCTTTAATACACCGGAGGTATCTGCTTTGGCAGTCGGGAAGATGAAGCGCACTGTAGGCAGGTCATGAGGTATTCTCGTGGTATCAATGAAGTCGCGCATAAATGGCTCGGCGGTGGAGTTGAAATCGTGTAGGAGGATTATTGTGTGCTGGTGGTCGTTGCGTCTGGGGTTGATTATTATGGGGTCTTCCCAGTTGAGATGGGGAGTGCGCGAGACCAGCTTCTGGGAGATGGTGTGGAAAACTGACATTCTGAGCGAGTATCTGGTCTGGTTTGTGGTGGTGACCGTGGTCGAGGCAGACTGTTCATATCTACGAAAGGGTGGCCGTTATATACTCAGATTGCTATTGTGCTCTTTGTGGAATGTGCCCTTTGATAGAGAGCCTACAAGCTGTTTCTTGCATTGTATCAATGGAATAGTGCCATTGACGGTTAGAGTCTAGAACGTTTGTTCACATCATAATGCTGGAAGACAATTGCTTGTCTACTACGGAGGTGTGCCACAAAGCGGCTTGCTCAATACATTGTCCTCAGGGACTGTAATAATGTACATTGCCAGATGAAGAGATACAAAGAATACAGAATATCCTCTGTGCCTATTAAACTGAACATATATTTCTCTACTTAGCGCTCGTCTGCAAAATGCCCAGCCAACAACCTCAGTATATATACGCAAAACCCTCCAAGATATAAGACCAGATCTTTAGCACTCAAAATGCAGTTCGATGAATACGTCAACGTCTACGTCGCCTGGGGCCAGTCCCACGACTACCGGCACCAACCTCACTGGGCGCTCCTCATCGCCCCCATCGGCGGGATAAAATGCACAGTGTACCACATAACCGGCGGCCCGGAAGAATACACTTTCGACATGGAAATCGACAAGACACTATACGACTCGTGCCTGACATATCTGCACAAGATCGCATGTATCCCAGCCGAAAGCCAGAAGCTCGTATACCGGGCCACGCAAGATGTCGCCCCCCAGCGATGCCATACGTGGGTAGTTGATGTCCTCGCGGAGCTCGAATGCCAGGGACTCCTCTGGCCTGGACTGACGGAATTCTATAGCCGCTTTGTGTGTCCGTCTGTTTGGGAGATGGCTACGTGGGACTTTGAGGCCCCGGATTATATGTCTTCGGGGGATCTGGTTGAACTTGCGGAGAGCGTCAAGGAGCAGGGCTTGAGTGACCTGGAATTCTGCAGGTGTTTCTTTTAGGTACTGGTGACGTTGTGCGGTATATATACTTACGATGCTGCCTGGTCTGTTAAGGCGGCGCATATAATCAACCAAATCTACGTTTTCATTCCCAATAACCACCATCTTCGTGTAAACCATCAAAATCGTTAAATAACATATCGAGTATTTATGACTATTCTAAATTCAGCCGGGCATACTGATCCACAAAGTCATCGAATAGCTTGTTCAGTCCCCGCAGATTCAAAGGATCTTTGTCACCTTGTTCATGCATGAAGCAAAGCATGTTATGGATATCGAAAGTGATGGCCAACAAGTATCCATATTCAGACTCAAGGAATACCTGATCCCCAGTATCAGAATCACCTGTCAGCCTGTTCCACTGCCTCGCATACTCGTCACAGAAATGTCTCTTCTCCTCGGTGGTATACTCCCTGCAGTCTGCTATCCTGCTCTCTGCGTCAAACCACTTGAACATCTTCTGCATGAAGTGCCCTCCGATGTCAAACGCTCGGTAGTTCTGCATCACGAACTCAAAGTCAATGAGGGTGACTGTGCTCTCCCCTTCCTTTGGGTCATTCTTCACCATCACGTTCATGAATTGGACGTCATGGATACACCATCCTGTCTTTCCTCCTGTTGATTCCAGCTTGTCGACCGCATTCCGCAGTCTTCTCCCAAAGTCGTAATCAACCAGTTTATCAATATCAACACCTCCTTCCCTCCCAAGTATCTTCAACTTATCCATCCTATGATAATTCCCAAGCCCATTAATGACAGCCTCATAGTATGCATTAACAGGCTTCTTCTCCAGCGAAGTCTCCAAGCAATGGAAAATCGCCAGCCCTTTCGCAATATCCGCCCGGACAATCTCATCCTCAACATCCTCCGGCTCCATATTCCGTGCGTTCAAGAACTCCTCAACCCTACCCAGCGTCCCATCTTCTGTTTCAAAGAATCCATAAACTCTAGCTCCCAACCCCGTTTGACCATACTCATAAGAGAAAAGCGCCTCCTCATGCCTAGTCGGAGCCAAGGGCTTGAAGATCTCAAGTCTTCCCCCCGCGGCAGTGTGGAATTTGATAAACACCTTCAAAGGCTCAGTCGATGTGCCCGTAGCCGGGCTCGGTCGCTCCACGGTACAGTGCGCGTTGGCAAAGGATGCATGATATGAGACTGTCAGAGTCTCTGGGTCGATAGATGGCCATTCTTCAGCCAAGAATGTGCCGACGATATCTCTGACGTTCTGTTTAGTCGGGACTTTGGTTTTTGGAAGAGTTACGGCGATGCGCGTCAGTGTGGCCATTTTGTTTTGATAATTTATTTCTGGGGAAGAAAAGAAGTTGAAGTGTAACTTAATCTCGTGTTCGGGGCTCGGTTAGTCAGGAAATATTTCCCGACATGACACAGGATGGCTCATTCTGGCTCATCCTCGTCTGAATTTGGTCCACAAAAATCCGTTTGTTGCATGACATGGACCGTTTTATTTATTTGATATATTTGAGCTGGGCTGCAGCGGAGAAGGTGGAATTCTACTGGTGATGCCTGGCAGTAGAATGTACCAATATATATATATACAGTGCCAAACTCGTCCGGCTGTTCTGGTGGTATACCTGATTGAATGGATTAATATCTTCAAACAGGCTTGATAGCACTAGATAGATCGTACAGGAAGCTGGCGTTTCATTCAGCCCAAATGCCTTGGTAAAGTGCTTACAAACACAAAGAACGTATAGCGTTGATGTTTCAACATCAAAGACCCAGATCAAGAGCATAAAGGCAACGACACAGGCTCCTTCATCAGATGAAAGTGAAACGGTAGTTAGGATACAGATACATGAAAGAAAATGTATCGCAGTCTCATTGACCACCCTTTAACCAGGTAACGGTGGGATACTTGCATTGCGACAATGATACAAAGAAGTCTCCAGCATGTCTATATAGAAGCTGCATAATCCCAATTCCAGCCTGCTAAACCACTTACACATTCATTTTATCATTGACCGCAATATGTCTTACCGTGACGAACTCGATCTCTACGTAGCCATTGGCAATCGCGAAGAGCATATGAATATTCGCCCCGTTGCAATAAGGCAAAGCCACCCAGCACACTGGATGTTGCTCGTCATTCCACCCGAACAGACCAATAAATGCACCTTTATCCACGTGAAGGGAGGCCCCATCGACTACGAGCACTCTATCCAGCATAACAGACGTCTAGATAGACTCAAAGAGCAATCCAAAGAACGAATTGGCAGGATCCATGAATCGGATCTGCGGCTTCTACTCGCCCTGGCAGAAAGGGTAGAGCCGAAGCGGTGCCAGCTGTACGTGGCAGAGCTTCTGGACAGGATGAACGAGAGAGGCCTGGTCCGGCGCCAGGTCGTTGAGAAATACCAGACCATGATTGAGCCGTCGCTGTGGACTCAACTTACGCGAGCGGGAATACCGGACGTGGACGCTGCTACGGTGACGCTGAATCTGGCGAAGATCTATCGAGAATTCGACGAGGTGGACGATATGCAGGAAGATACATGCCTCTATGACTATGCGCTTGATTTCGGTGATACCAGAGACGCAGATGCTGCGATCGACACCGAGGAAGCCACAGCGCCGGCCTCCAACTCGGGGGTAATGCTAATGGCTGAAGAAGGGCCGTCGAGTGGAAGTTTACCTCACAGAGAGAGTCGTGAGCAGCGAGAAACGATGGATTAATTGGGTTACCATAAGTAACTCTTCCAACTACACGTTATTATCTAGTTAATACAACCACTTTTGGCATGTAATAAGCTTAGATAAAGTAGACAAAAGTGATTGGAGGACTTATATCGCCTGATCACATGGCCCAAGTAGATTATAAAACGCCGTCTCCAACTCCAAATGTTGTTCTCCATCCAGTCTTTGTAATTCATTTATTCTGTCCATATGCCTGACTCTGTGTACACTCGCCCACCCAAAGGGGCTGCCCGTCGCGTACGTACTGGGAGCAGAACGACCGTGGCCTGCGTTAGCTGCAAGGAGAGGAAGCTGAGGGTATTCTATTATGCACCAATTTGAGGTCCAGTCTAACTTGTCGATACAGTGTGATGATCAAGTTCCGGCTTGCACAAACTGCCAGAGAAACACTCTAGGTAGGCCTGAAGCATCCAACCTGCGTATATATAGTAACAGGTACAGCCTGCCTGGTTGAAGATCCAGCAACAAAACGGCTCCAACCACGAAACTACATCGCTCTTCTGGAACATCGTGTCGAACTTCTCGAAGGTGCAGTACGGCGTCTTCAGCCAGGCCGTGCTAGGCCCAGGGCCGGTGTTGCCGACGATGACAATCAACTCTCGGACCTTTGCTCCATTATGGGAGTCTTGAGTCTGAATGCAGCTGGAGCTGAGCCGCGATTCTTAGGTTCATCATCGGCGTTTGCATTTACTCGCTTCATTAGTCCGTCGATTCGTCAGTTGATCCCCTCAGTATCTCCCGACCTTACCGGGAATCGCGAGACAGCAGCACCGGAGCCATGCCTGCTACCAGAGTATACCATAGCCGTCAAGCTGAGCAGCGCCTACTTCCAGAATATCCATCCACAATATCCATTCCTAGATGAGCCGACTTTCAGGGTGTGGGAGGCAGCGTTGAAAGACCCGCTCACTGCAATGTCAATTTATTATAAGCCCGGGCCGCTTTTCTTCTTAAACATAGTACGATTCCCGCAGCTTAGCTCCAATCAATCGCGGGTTTAACAGGGAGCAGGTATATGCTATTGGCGCGTTGCTGCTGCCCAGTCCGGGTTGCTCCCCAGAGCAACTGTACGCCTCTGCGCTGCTTTATATCGACGATATACTATGTCACGACAATATGGAGTCAATTCAAGTGCTTCTATGCTGTGCTGCCTATTCCCTGAGGTCGTCACAAGGCACATCCCACTGGTAGGAAACTTACTGTACTCACATATTCATGCTGACGAGGAACATTAGGAAACTCGCAGGACAGGCTCTGCGCCAGTGCGTCAATCTTGGTTATCATCGCAGCTCAAAGCATCTCAAAACAAACATACCACAAAATGAACAAGAGCTGCAGAAGAGAGTTTTCTGGAGTGCATATCAAATGGAGTGTGCAGCGGCAGTCATGCTGGGGCGGCCCTTGAGTTTGCGCTTCGAAGATATCGATGCAGAGGTATGCTGTAGTATGTTAGCACATGGTCTTTAAGTAACCCATAAATAGTTCCCAAAAGATGATGAGGAATCACAATGGGCGCCGGAATCACCATCAGCTAGTTTGCCGCAGCCTACGATGATGACCTATGCCATCCACGCATTCCGTATCCGGTCACTACAAGGCTGCACCCAAACCCAGATCTATTCCGACACAACCCTCCAAGATCCCCAAACCCGAGAAGCCCAAATGAATCAACTATCCAACATGCTTGAAGATTGGAAACTATCCCTCCCCCCTCCCCGCACCCCTCCTGAAACCGGAGCGCTCTCATTCTTCACAACCCCAGACTGGTACCAGGCCGCATACAACCACGCCATCCTACATCTATACCGCGTGCAACTAACGAACAAAAGCCAACCCGCAACAGACGCAGTTATAATGAAATGCCTCCACGCAGCAAAGGACGTCTGCCACAGCTTCCGCCGGCAGTTCGTTGGCGGACCAACCACGTACACCTGGAGCGCGCTGCACGAGCTTTTCATAGCGGGTCTCACGTACCTCTACTGTCTGTGGACTTCTCCGGTAGCGCGTGCAGAGTCCAGGCTAGATCAGGTAAGTAATGCGTGTACAGACTGTACCATGGTGCTAGTCGTGTTTGCGGAGCGCTGGCGTGATGCTGCGCCGTATCGGGATATCTTCCAGGAATTGGCGAGTCGGACGATTACGATGATTGCTGAGGCACCAGATGGCCTGGTCGATGGGGTGATGGAGGCTACGGAGAATACGCAGGATCTGAACCAGTGGATGGCTGATATTGCAGATATGGGTGTTTCTTTAGGGGCGGATCAGTTGTTGACTGGGTTGATGGATGGGCTTCCAGGTCAGGGACTGGAGTAGGATGACACTGCTTTGGTTATAATGTGCATTATTTGATATTGCAATTAATATAGCTCCAAGACAATATATTAGTTAAGCTCGTTTGTCTACTTTCCCATACCGACATCGGTTGACCCACGCTTCCACTCTGCGCATCGAGTCCTGGATATTCAAAATTAGTATTCAGGCTGCATGGCACACAGTATGTAGATGCAACTTACTCCTGATCATATCGCTCAACGTCAGTCCCTTCCAACAACAAGCGGTGATTGCGCTTCCTGGTGTACTTGTACGCATTAAACCACGATCCCTCAAAGAGGGCATCTAATTCTTCAACACCCAGTCCCGAAGTCTCAGGGACCATGAAGAACACGTAGAATATGGCAATGAGGCAGCACGCGGCGAAAAATAGAAAGGCGCCCCAGTTGTTCGTGGCTGTTAGGAGAGACGGCAGGGCGAAGTTCATGGCAAAGAAGAACAGCCCTATCCAAGTTAGTGCCGGTGGCAGAAGGGACAGTAACAATCGTACAATGGAAGCTTTGACTGATAGCACCCCCGAATGATCGAATACGATTTGGCCAGAGCTCGCCCCCGAAGACATATGGGAGGACAAATAGTCCTAGACAGGGTCAGCCGCTGTGTCAAGATATTTGGGAATTCTTACCGATTCCGTATCCGAGGGCATGCATGAATAACATCCCAATGGCCGCCTCAGACATGGTCATATTAACGTTTCCTGCTTGTTCATACTTGAGGTATACAGCGAGGTATATATCCGAGACCATCTGCAGAAATGCGCCTAGGAACAGCGATCCCCGCCTACCAAGCGCATCAATGAGAAACAGCGAGGCAATCAACGTAAAGAAAACCTTCGACGTGCTATACATGCCACTCATAAAGAGGCTATGAGTCGTCCCTCCCGCCTCACCAAGAAGATTCAGAATGGGGATGAAGTAGGATGTAATCGAATTCGCACCAGATATCTGAGCCAGGGCATACGACATCAGAGTCTGCTGTACGCGTCGCAGATTCGAGCGGACGGTAAAGGTCTCTTTGACGTTGCCGAGTAATCGCGAAGTACCGGCCTCGTAGTGAGTAGTTTCTCGGTCAATTGCATTCTTGATCTCCTCCAGCTCTGAAGCGACTCGGGGATGGTCGGCCGGTAATCCGCGTAGCTGGACCAGTGTCTCTACTGCCTCATCATGGCGGCCAACTAGCCATAGCCAGCGCGGCGATTCACATAGGAGAAAGCTGGCTCCGATGAGAAGGGCAAAGAAGACGCATGGCGCGAACCATACAACCTGGTACTGCAACCGGCTGGTGGGGATGTGGACAAAGGCTCCTAATACTGTAAAAATGGATACCACTCCGGATATACACATTAGCACACTGAACCAGACCGCCAGCAGCCCTCGGATTTCAGTAGGTGCTATCTCAACAATGGACATCGTGCCGACGACAGTTAATGGCCCAATCCCTAGACCACAGATGACTCTGGCTACCCAGAGGCCTGCAAGGGTAGGGGTGAAGCACATTACCAGCTGTCCAATTATCCAGATAGCAGTGTACAAGCGCCATGACCATAATCTCCCAATACGATCATTAACGAAGAGGGACAGTAGAGCGCCGACTCCAGCACCGGCGAATGGAATGGAAACGAAGTAACGCAGCTCGCCGGCGTTACTGTTCCCAAAGCCGAAGTGCTCCTGGAACCCGGGCAGGATTGGAATTGTGCCGGATGAGCCTTGATCCCACGCTAATTGGAGAGTATTAGCTGCGACCATAGTCAACACTGCGTAGTGGACACACTTACTTAAGGGCATCGATGCCGTGGCATAGCAGAGCGTCGACAAGAGCAAGTGTCTGTTCCATACTAGCTGCCTGGGGGCTGCGCGGACTTGTTTGATATATGTCGCAAGGGTTGACTCGGTGAACAGATTTCTCAAAGCCATATTGAGTAGGTGGATGAATTTGTATAGCTGCCCTGAGTTCCATTCTGGCATTTAAATAGTTGATCAAGGTCACTCGCCTCCTAGGTTGGTATCAACAATATCTCACGGCTCTCAGCAAGACTGGAGTCTCATATCATAACTATTATGGTTCCCCTGAGTGGTCCATCACGACTGGGCTATCTCGGAAGAATACGAATGGCGTACCCTATTGGCCTATATCTTTGGAGAAGCATCAAGAGATAACGCCAACCCCGCAAAATAGAGGTCGGCATGACCCGACACAAAGTGCTATCTCCTGCTTGAAGGGTGGAGGCGCTGCCTATCATTACTATTTTGCAGTATCTCTGAGCGGGGTACATTGTGAAGCTCAAAGGCTGGTCAACGAACACCGGCCTGTTGACCTCGGAAGAATGCGAAGAGTCAATAGAAAGCGCCTAGAACTGGTTTCTGGACTGACAGACGGTACTTTCCGAATTGCCAATTCTGCCGTTAAATCCTCCAGTGGCTTGAAGTTAAATAAGCCATGCCATTTCGTACTCCCTTAAGAAGATTGCTCCAAGTCGTCAAATACTGGCATAATTTGCAACAATGTCATCGCGCGTTAGCAGCAAGTCCTCGCCCATTGTCATTGTCGGCGCGGGCGTATTTGGGCTAAGCACGGCCATCCATCTTGCTCAACGCGGCTATACAAATGTCAAAGTGCTAGACAAGCAGACATACCATGAGACGGAGTACTCTTATGATCGAGGCTGCGATGCCGCATCTGCTGGTATGATTCCTCACCCATCCACGGTCTCGGTGGGCACGAGTTTAACAGCTGTAGATATCAACAAGATCATCCGCATGGCATATGGGTCTCAGATTGAGTATCAAACCCTCGCATTGGATGCTCTCGCTCGGTGGAAGGAGTGGAATAAAGAAATTAAAACTGGGGCTGCCCTGCCTCCAGGATTTACTGCGGACGACGCTCTCTTCGTGAACAATGGGAATCTCACCATGTTCTCTGACAGTTCACTGCCTGAGTTTGAGATGAACACCATGCAGAATATGGTCAAGGCTGGCCTGAAGGAGTCGCAAATCGTTCTCACCAACGCAACTGACGTATCTCGGGCCAAGGCCAATGGCTTCGGCTTCGCTGTCAATCCATTTAAAAGAAATCATAACTACGGAATACTTGATATTCAGGGCGGCTTTGCCTACGCCGACAAGGGCTGCCGCTTTGCCCTCCATAAGGCACGGACACTGGGCGTGCAGTTCGTATTTGGGCCTCAACAAGGCATGTTCTCCAGCTTCCTCCGCGATGGCGACTCTCGTATCAAAGGTGTCAGAACAGCAGACGGCACATCACATTTGGCTGAATTGACAGTCATGGCATGTGGGGGATGGACCCCGTCCCTTGTCACCCAGCTTGATCACCTGTGCGAGACCACCGCTGGAAGTGTCTGTACATTCCAACTACCGCGGGGGTCTGCCTTGTGGGATCGTTTTGCGCCTGAGAAGTTTCCCACCTGGACGTAAGAACTTCCAGTCGATAGGTACTTCTTGAAGATTAACTATCTTTTGATATTTAGGTACGATATTCGCCATGGAGCTAGCGGGGGCCTCTACGGATTCGCCCGAGACAGCAATGGAGTGGTCAAGATAGGGTACCGAGGAACCAAGTTCACGAACCCCCAGCCCCAAGCAGACGGTGTCTCTAGGAGTATCCCCGTAACCAGATGGACAACGGAGCCCACCCGGCAGATGCCGCTCTTAGCAGCACGGACGATCCGAGGCTTCGTCGAAGCCCATATGCCGGAGCTGCTCAGCTGTGAGACCAAGACACGGCTTTGCTGGTACACTGATTCCTTTGATAATCACTTCGTTATTGACTTTGTTCCAAATGTCGATGGGCTGTTGGTTGCTACTGGGGGTAGTGGACATGGATTCAAATTTTTGCCAAATCTTGGAAGCCATGTAGTGGATCGGATTGAAGGAAGGCCCAGCGATTATTTGCACCTTTGGCGATGGAGGAGCCTGGGCCCTTGTCAGAAGCCATACAACGTTATAATGGAGGGTGAAAGTAGTGAACGGTCGCTGAAGAATCAGGATCTCACGGCAGATGATTCTCTACTCAAACAGCGGGCTCGCATTTAGGGCGTTAGATCTGGGCCCGGCTTTCAATACATATTTTGAAATATTACACTAAAGAAACCCAGTGCGGCCCTTCAGAGGACGAGGCTGTAGAAGGCGACGGCGACCTACGGTTGTTCCTGGTCCACCAAGAGTTATGGCAAGTAGCAGCACCAACTTCCAATCGGAGTCAGCTGTAGACATATCATTCACTGATATTCTTTGCATATTTACAAACTAGCTCACTTAAAGGTTCACTATTGCAGTGTTCTACGCTATTCACCTGGGCGTTTTCGGATGTCGTTTTAAGAGGCAAGTTCACCAGGAGTACGATCACTATAAGGCTAATAAACATCAGATAAACACTACTCTCCCTCTTCGTCCCATGTCCCACCGACCAATCCACCTGCGTGCTGACAACGAAATGCCGTACCTTCACATCCTCCCGGCACCCCCTATACCCGCCACGCTCGACGACGGCCAGTCCATGTGGATGTACATCATGATACATATGAACGAACAGGACGACCAAAAGTTCGGCTGGACAGTCGTGACTATGCCTTCTAACCCCAAGCCAGATACCATCGCCACCTTCTACTACATCCGCCGGGATGAGCAAGGCTGCACCCTATACGATCCCATCATGAAGGCCCTCAACCAATATAAGCAGCTAGTCCGCGACTGCAGGAGCTGCATCAAAGTCTGCTCGTTGCCGATTGATTCTACCCCGGATGTGGACAAGATGCTAAGGGACGCATTCAAGCCGGGGGGAGGACGATGGGTACATGTTATACGGGATCTGATTGATGCGCGTCTGATCAGTGCCAAAGAGGGCGAGGGATTGAAGGAGCATTTGTGGGGGCCGAGTTCAACTTATATCGGAGTGCCCTTGGAGCTTCTTGATCAAGAGCAGACTGCTTGGTATACTCTTCGCCTTGGTGAGGTCGTATAAGCGAATCTGACATCGAGCATTAGCAACTGTTTACTTTATGTGAGAAGTTTTGTCACCGCATTTCTTCAGCCTTGTTGGAACGAATACTGTTGCAATATTTTTACCCGTTGGCCTTTGACAAAGAATGTGCCAAAGGAAGTCTGTATTCAACATATCATAGTGAATATGCCAGTATAATCCATTTGTGATCTTCTTTCAGGATGATCAATCGACTTCCTCAAAGCCCTTTATCAGTACTTGCCCACAATCACAAGTCCCGTTATATAACAATGCCGATATATAACAAAGACTCGCAATATGATATAAACAGACTCAAACCCCTGCAACGCCAACCCAACTTTCCGTACCACGAGCAGATTCAATCTATAGCTGTACGTAAATCTTTATTCTCTTACCCAAGATGGCCCCTAGAACCCGCTCCAAGATAACATGGCACCAGCTCAGCATCGTGGACACAAAGCGCAGGGTAGGAGACCCTTATTCCTGGATCCTAATCCTGGGCGAAGAAGTGAGTATGCTAAATTTCAGATTCTGGCACATCACCAGTAATCCAGGCGGGTATAGCGTTAGGTACATAGAAGCACCCATGGACGCGTGTTTCATCACGCGGTTCTTCGGCGCTGTACACCCTGTATGTCGTGTTCCTGGGACATGTATGCATCAGTTTTGTATTGCTGTTGATAGGGCGACTGAGCAGGATTGCCGTCGCTGGGTTAGTGCGTTGCTGCTGGATTTGGTTGAGTGGCAGTGGGTTTCGAGCGTGAAGGCTGAGAGGTTGCAAAGGGAGATTGTGCCTGGGCCGTTGGAGCCTGGTGATGGGAATGGGAGTGTTCAAGCGAGTTATGATAGTTATCTAAGTGTGGAATGGGAGGATTGTTTGTAACCTCACTCTGTCAACCTCGTGGAGCTTTGTACTGACAAATATGTCTAAATAAATTCAAGGTGTTCTTAATCAATGCCTAATCCCATTAACATCGTAACGTCATAGTAACCTTGGTAAGACGATCGTAGTATGAGTAGTTCTTAGTTTGTGCCGAAAATGTCACCATTGCTAAATGGACATCTTCGCAGCACGTCCAGTCCATATTGCAGCGGCATAGAATTTCCAGATGTCGTCGGATGATTAAAAGACAAAACAGAATAAAAAAAGATCGTTTGGTTTCTCCTCTCATCGGGTGTCAAAGCCAAGTCTCAATAAACCTCAATATCGAAACCCTTGCACCCCATCTCGTCCCAGTGATGCACCATTGAAACCTCTATCTTTCGTTTGTCAGGAAATGCACTCATTCACTGATTAAGGTGAACCAACTGTCTTATTGACACAGTAACCAGGTTGAGCTTTGAAGGCAATTAAGGCACCAGCTTTGGACCACGTACCATACCTCCCCTCACCTGGGAGCTTCTCTGGCATCCCCACGTAAGATCAGCTCCCCCATTCCGCTTTTTAGGCGGGGCTGAGATCACCTTCAGCTTTTCACCTTGTGATCGTCAAACTGTGTCACCGTCAGCTTTTGTCCAGCGAATCATCACTCCCAAGCACATGCACGGACAACACTGCAAGCGTCTGACAGAGCCAAGCTCGCGATTCCAAGCCTCTTCAGCCGATTTAGTGGACGACCAAAGTTTAATGGGTTCCGTTCTTGCAGGTCGCGTATTCGCTCAGAACGGCAATACGCAGCGCCGCCGTGACTCACAGGAACACATAAAAGCAACCCAGCCAGCACAAACTTTACTCTCAAAACATGAGCCAATATAAAAGTTAAAATGTGCGGAATTACAGCGTTCCTGACTCTCGGTCAACGCCCGGCTACTGACAGGGCACGCACCGAAGACGAAATCGACAAAAGCCTCGACATCGTCAAACACCGCGGACCAGACGCATCGGGGAAATGGATTAGCGATAGTGACCGCGTCGGTACGTTTACTCCAGGAATACTCATGATTCAAATACTAACAGACCAGGCCTCGGGCACGTCCGGCTGTCGATCGTGGACCTGCGCCCAGAAGCAAACCAGCCCTTCCACGACCCCGAGGATGACGTATACGCAATCGTGAATGGCGAACTGTACGACCACGAGCGATACCGGGAGGAGCTGCGCGGGGAATACAATTTCCGCAGCCACAGCGACTGTGAGATTGTGCTTGCGCTGTATAAACACTACGGGTTGGCGTTTTTGAGTCACCTGCGTGGGGAATTCGCGATTGTGCTCTGGGATGCGAAGCGGGAGGTGTTTCTCGCGACGAGGGATCGGTATGGTGTGAAGAGTCTTTATTATACGGTTGTTGAGGGGAGGTTGCTTGTTGCGACGGAGATGAAGCAGTTTCTTGCGTATGGGTGGCAGCCGGAGTGGGATGTTAGAGCGCTGGTTGAGGTTGGGTGGACGTTTGATGATAGGACTGTGTTTCGGGGGGTGAACAAGGTATCCTTCTTTCAAGCTTGCTGAGAGACTTAATTTATTAAACTATCTCCAGATCCAACCCGGTCAGTATATAATGAGCCGGAACTATGGCGATATCAAGAGAGAGAAGTACTGGGACTTGCAATACCCAGACAAGGTGAGAAGGCAATCCACACCGTGACAAATATTAACAGGTACAGACTGCAAAAGAAACCCGAACGGAAGAAGAGATGATCGAAGGAGTCCGCCAGCGCCTTCTTGATGCAGTCCGAGTGCGCCTTCGCGCAGACGTCCCAGTCGGAATCTATCTCAGCGGTGGAATTGACTCGTCAGCAATCGCCGGGATGGTCGTTGACCTAGTCAAAGAGGGAGCGAAACTCGGAGACAGCTCGAGCCAAGATCTCTCGCGAATCCAGTGCTTCACAGTGCAGTGGGATAAAGACAGCGGTGCTGATGAATCTGGTTTGTCCAACACGCCTACAGGATGAATGTAGTGCTAACAGGCTAGATATCGCCCAGCGCACGGCGGAATTCCTCGGGGTGAAATTCAATCCCGTCCACGTCACGGAGGACATGATTGCCAAGCGGTTCGAAGATACCATCTGGTACAGCGAGGCCTTTACAGCCGATACCAACGGGATGGGTAAGCTCGCGATGGCCGAAGTTGCACACGAAGCTGGGTTCAAAGTCGTTATCACCGGTGTGTCTTACCCCTGAAGATATAGAAGCCAGCTAGTAACCTGAAATGTAGGCGAAGGATCCGACGAACACTTCGCGGGCTACACCTTCCTCCAGCCCGACGCCATGCTCGAACCAGATCAATCACGGCTCAGCCATGGCTACACCCCCGAGAAGCACGCCATCGCCGCCAAAGAAGAAACCGAGCCCAAATTCTACGGTATAAAGATCGTGCTCCCACCAATCCTCCCCTCCACAGAGCGCACACTCAACAACACCAAAGTCTCCAGCGTCACCAGCCGCACCACGGGCCTGCGCTACGCAGACTGGGCAGCAGACAAAGACAAGCTCAAACGAAGCGACGCCCCTACAGTATTTGTCGAATCACTCGACGGAGAGACCCGCCAGAACATGATACATAAATGGCACCCACTGCACACATCCGAGTACACCTGGACGAAGACCGGGTTTACCAATATCCTCCTCCGGTATCTCGGCGATAACATCGACATGGCATACCAGGTTGAATCGCGGCCTGCGTTCCTCGACCATAACCTCACAGAATACGTAAACGGACTCCCGCCATCACTGAAGTTGAAATACGATTACGACACGGGAAAGTTCACGGAGAAGTATATCCTGCGCGAGGCCGTGAAGCCGTTTGTTACGGAAGAGATCTACACGCGCACGAAGAAGCCGTATATGGGGCCGTTGAAGTTCCCGAATAACGGCCCGCTGCATAGGAAGTTGGCGGAGTTGGTGACGAGGGAGAATGTTGAGGCGCTGGGGTTTGTGGATTGGGAGCAGACGAGCGTGTTTGTTCCCAAAGCGTTTGAGGAAGGGGATCAATTGGCGTTTAGGGCTTCACTTGCGATTGCGCAGTTTGTGGTTATTTCCAAGAGATTTGGTGTCAAGCCTGCGTCCCCTAGTGACTGGTTGAGTTAGGTTGATATTAGACTTGGGTAACTGAATAGGGGGTATTGAGCCCTACAATTACTGGAATAATCATCCGATACACGCTACTTAAGCAATAAATGTTATTTCATTGCTCTCTCCACTGGATGTGCCGGAGTTCTCCCTAATCCAGCAAGCTTCTACATGAAACGCCCGGGGCCTCAGACAAGCACAGGAAAAACTCCACCACCAGTTCCGCCACTGCCCTACTCAATCAGCCCAGTGTCAAGCTCCGACAGACCCACTGACCAGGTCCAGCCGTTTCATTTTGTGTCAACGTCCGACATTGGCAGCTTCTGCAGCGTCCCGCCGGGCAAGGTATAAATCGGCCGGGCCCTCTAACTTGAATGGCTGCATTTCCAGGACCAAACTCTCATCACAAAAACAGCAACCATGCATTCTCTATCCCCGGTAGCAATTGCACTTTTCGCGATCCTCAAGGCCGCCGCCGCCCAGGACAATATCGGATTCGGACCTGCCTTCTCCCTTGGACCGACCAACTCGTGGATCCGCGAGGCAAACACCACCCTCGTCCTGCCCGAGACGCCCGGTCTCAAGGACCGTCTTGCCCTATGGCCTGGTATGGGAACCAGCGGCGGCGATCTCATTCAGGTGCTGGCTGTGTCATTTGCGGACCCTAATGCGAACTGCGGTGCCAGTGAGGGACAGTGGTGTACTTGGGCTAGTACCTTGCAGGGTATGCAAAATATTTATCATTCGGCGGTTCAGGAGGCTAATGGATATAGGCACGCAACTCGGGGGCGACCAGGTTCCTGCGAACGCTGGTGATGAGCTTACCGTGAGCTGTAAGTTCTTCCCATTGCGTAGTGGCTATATACTGACAGTGTAGATGTCTACAACGAGAGTACCGACGAGTATGACCAGTCTGTCTCGATCAACGGCGAGGTCGTGTCTACCCTGTCAACAAGTACGTTATCCGATCGATGTGAGAGCGTAACTAATAATGTATAGGCTCCGGCCAGGCTGAAGGCTGGGGCACTGCGGTGGAGTGTCAAGACGACGCCTGCCAGATCACCGTCGCTGCGCACAGTAAGTCTGATACCAAGTACTACGGCAAATACTAAGTGAAATAGAATACACGTCGACCACGATCCTCCTCGACTCCGAGGACAGCTCCTTCATTGACACACTTGTTCTCAATGAGGCGACGTCCAGCGGTCTGACGACGTCGGACAATGGCAAGACCTGGACGGTGGATACCATCAACATCAACGAGCACACCTTTGATCTGTAAGATGGCTATTGGTGGGGATGATGCAGTGTATATTAGTCTTTGCCTATCTGAGTATTGGTAGCGAATGGCATCAGCGAATTGCAGCGTGCAGGCAGCGCTAAGACTGAGATCCTGTTGCATTGCTGGAGGCTTGTAGAAAGTCCGTGCGTCCAGGAATGTTTTCTTTGATAAACAGAACTCCTGTTCATTCACTACTATCCCTCGGAAATTAGTCTCATTGAAGTTCCACCGTCAGTACTAGGTAGTCTCAGCAGCTTCGCGTATTCGGTCATTGCAAGACCCGAAGGCATAATGGCAAAGTTCTGTAGACTGCGATCGCAGCGCCCGATGAACAGTCTGTGGCTGAGAACAAAGAAAAGTCGCTGGATTCTGTTGGCTGCTAAATGTCCGGTCTGAACCGTGCAGTGATCAGCCCAGTCCCTTCCTGATCTCGCTCAGCCAAGTGAATTAGACACATTTCCTTCATTTCACAGGTCACTCAGCGATGTAACCAGCCGTGGGCGCGAGGCAGGAGCGTATTTAGGAATGGGAAGGGGCGATGGAATGTGCCCATCACTTCCTCGCGATCGTTCCCACTTTTTGACACTGACAGTCACACATCGACATTTCTAGATTGTATTTCTAAGTCAACATGTGGAAGATCACTGCACTATCATTGCTCGCTGCCTGCGTTGCTGGACAGTCATGTCCTCTCGCAGGGCCAGCCTTCCCGGCTCCACGGAGAGTGATAGGCAGCGTCGCCATGGACCACGCGGTTGGCAACTTCACCAGCTCGTTGCAGCGGATCCTCCACGCGACAGACGATCCACAGGTGACTGCGATCGATCCAGACGCGACGTCATTCGCGGTGCAGGTTTTCAGCACCCACGACGAGCGTCCCATTCTCGAACACTACCACACAGCCACCTCTGCGCGAAACAACACGGTCGGCGTGAATACGGTGGACGAGAACACTGTCTTTCGAATTGGAAGCACTTCCAAGTTGTGGACGGTTCTGCTACTTCTTATTGAAACCGGCGATTCGTCCTTCCACGACCCGATCTTCAAGTACATTCCGGAGCTGCGCGATGTCGTCAGACTCGGGAAGGCCAACAATTCCTACATTGACAGCGTCGATCATGTTCAATGGGAGGATGTTACGGTGGGAGAGATTGTCAGCCAAATGGCCGGTCTCGAGAGGGCCTGTAAGTATCTTGCTCGCCGTGTTGAACACGACTAACGGCTGTAGTTGGCCTGAGTGACCTGGCTCGGACGCCCTCTGTGGTTGAGCAGCTTGGATTCCCCCATCTTCGACGCTCTGAAGTACCTACATGTGGCCTTGGACCAGCCTGTACTCGAGCTGGTAAGTGCGATACTTCTCCAAGCTGGCCGTTCTAACGATTGTAGAATTCTTCGCCGGCCTGCTCAAGAGACACCCGGTCCTTCCGACGTCGTCAGGCCCTGCGTACTCGAATGATGCCTTCCAGCTGCTTGCGTATGCAATTGAATCAATGTTCAACATCCCGTATCAGGATCTCCTGGAGAAACGGTTAATACAGCGGCTTAACCTAACCCACTCTTCCTATGGAAAGCCTGCCGATAACCTGGGCATCATCCCAGGTCCTATGAATATGACACACTGGGATACGGATCTGGGCGACCTAACACCGTAAGTGCTCCCGCAGCTCACACTGGATTCCTGTCTAACCAGATAGGACTGGCGGGCTATACTCATCTACAAAAGACATGACCACCCTGGGCCGTGCGATTTTGAACAGCGACCTTCTGTCCCCTGCGCAAACCAGACGCTGGTTGAAGCCGCACTCTCAAACTGCTGACCCCAGCTTTTTGGTTGGTGCACCGTGGGAAATATACGTTGTCGACGACCCTCGTCCGATCGACTTATATACCAAATCTGGAGACCTCGGCAGCTATTCGGCTATGATGGGCGTTTCTCCGGATCACAATGTTGGTTTCGTCATCCTCGTTGCGGGTGAGAAGACAACTCAAACTGTGTACGCCTTGGCCGATCTTTTTGCAAAGGAGATCATTCCAGGTCTCGAAGATGCCGCCAAAGAAGATGCAAGGGACCGATTTGCTGGGACATATAGCCTAGGCGGCTCTACTCTGACACTTACAACTGATGACGGCCCTGGGCTGAAGATCAAGAGGTGGCAGAACAAGGGAAAGGATATGCTAGAGTCACTGGCAACCCTACAGCCAACTGAAATCGAGGGACAGCTGGATGTCAGATTGTATCCCACCGGACTGGAGAGCCCAGGCAGGATCTCGTTCCGGAGCGTTGTGTCAGGATCAGCCCCAACCGGGCCAGTCAATGGACCGTTCACGCGTGCCTGCAAGTCATGGCTGTCTGTAGATGGCCAGGTGTACGGATCGGTCGGCCTTGATGAGTTTGTATTTGATGTCCTAGACAACGGTGGTGCTGTTCGTGTTTCCCCACGCAGTTTGCGAGTATCATTAGCGAGGGTGAGGTAGAGTTTATTGATAGCCTTATACATTAATAACGATTAATACTGATTGAAGTTTGACCGTCGTAGTACTCATAATCAAATATGCAGACATGGGCTTTAGGAAATCCCGTTAATTGGGAAGTGGACACGGCGAAAAGGTATATCCGTGGGGGTTTCTATATACAAGGAGGATAATATCGTACAGCCGACTCGAGACGGCCAAGGATCGAGATGCGTATATCAGGGGATTAGGCAAACTAATCGAGCTCCGTAAATTCCCTTTTCTGCGGAACAGTACTCGCCGGTGAACTAGAACCACGGGGCCCCGAATTCGACTGCCGATTTGGCTGTATCTCATTCAGAGCATTAGACGCGCTGCTGGCTAGAGTACTAGTCACCTGTCCTGGAGCCGGTGAAGGTAGAGGTTCACACAACAACACCAGGCCATCGTATACATCTTCACCAATGGCGTTAAGCAATGGAGAGAGGAGCTCCATGCTGTGCAAACGCCCTCGCACCTCGGCGGCCCTGGTCCTCCAGTTATGCTGATGCGGCGTATACCACTCGACCGTTTTTCTGACGTACAGGGTGTGCGGGCTTCCGGTGCGGATTGTATCCGTGACGAAGGTCCTAGGCAACTTACCCTGGAGGTGCTTTCGCCTCTGTGCGCCCATGGGGAAGTCTTGTTCGAAGGCGTGAGAGTCTTCGACGAAGTGGCGGAGGGCTGTGCAGTCGGCACAGCAGTTTGAGAGACCGGGGACGGACTGGCTCCAGGTTTCGGGGGTGGGGGTGGTGGGCCGACGTAGCTTTGTATGTAGTTTTTGAGAATTCGGACGATGAACTTTGCTTCTTTGCTGTCTGTTTGTGCGGGAGATTCGATTACTTCATCATTCGTGTCTTCGCTGTCTGTTGATGCAGGAGAGGCACTTGCTAGATCCCCAGGTCGGAGATAGCAGGATAAGGATTCGATAAGTGGTTGTAGGAAGAATAAGAAGATGCCGTGGCGGTGGTGGAATTCCGTGATGCTGCGCTCGAGGATAGAAAGGACAGGAGTGATATCGAGATTCAAAATGTTCATTTGCTCGATCAGGTTTACAACGCTTTTGGGCTTGATTAGTTCTGATGGGCTAATCGTAGAGTGGCGTAGCCCATCCGGTGGGCCATTGAGTATCGAGAAATGCTGTAGTAGCGTTGGAAGAAGACTGCGGTATACGGAGGTTATGAAATCAAGATCGTGGCCATCGCGTTCGGGAGTTAGACGAAAGAGCATTGTAAGGAAAGAGACAACAAAACCGTTATAGTGGCCATTCACACGCACAAAGGGAACTGCACTTAGAGGTCGTCAGCACGGCTGCAATGGGGAACTGAGCAGGTGTATTATACTTCTCCTCCACAAAGGACTTGGTCAGTAATCCCACGCCAAATGCAAGTTCTTGTCCGTCGATCTCGCGCAACTCTGGCGTTAGCCCAGTCCGCGTCAAGAGCATATTAAAAGTACGTGAAAACCATGCGTGGATTTCGTCGGGAGTATGTTGTTCGCCTGCACTATTGTCCCACGCGCGACGAATTCCTGCAAGCGTGGACATGCCATCCAATCTACTACGCGTCTGGACCTTCCACAGGTTTTCAAGGCTGCAGAGTAAGAATTAGACTTGGGCAAATCCCCATCTCAACTGCTCTGATAATCAACTTACACAGGCTGCATCTGCTGCACGCCATGGGTGTATATCGCTTTCCCAATATCCCCGGCCAGCCTCTCGGAGCGGTGTCCCAACACATCCAGGCATTTGACAACGACGTCGAATTTTCCAATTTCAAGCGCAATAGGCGCAACATCAAGAAGGGCATCTCTTGTGAGACGCCGGTGTTGTGAAGTCATAATATCTTGTGAAGCCATAATCTCACATAGTTCACTAACTTGACTGCGGAGCTTTTGCTTCTCGGGGCAAGCCTGGTATTCACGGTAGATGTCTTTTAGCACTTCCCTCGGGTTACACAGGTTCCCAGCCTTGGCTGTACTCAGGAGTAGAGGGGCGTAAAAGGGCTTCGGGACCACCAAAGCAACGGTGTGTACATAGTGCCGATGGATAGCTGGACCCCGTGATCCATTTTCTGCAATGGGCTCTACACCATCTTGCAAGTCGTACGCGGGGAGCGACGGGTTACCTTCCGCCCCCCGAAAAACAGTATTCCCATCCAAGTCCTTAGCGAGATGAATATAAAAGTCCGGCACAGTTGGATGGGAAAGATTGGGATAATCAACTGTCCGCGAGAAGCTGTCATCACCCTCTTGTTTGGATCCGGGTATCAGGAACCGCAGAAAGGCGAGAAGTATGAGGCAACCCTCGGCGTTGCAGATCCTGCGCAGTTTGGCCATCCTCACTTTGTCTTCTGGTCGTAGGGTGTTTAATGTGAAATGCACTTGAAGAATCCGGTGGACTCAGTCTGTAGATGACAGCCGGCGGAGGGGTTTGCGTACAGTCCTTCACGCTGGAGAACCATGTTGACGGCGGCAGACCCTGACCATGAAGAAAGTCTGTTTGGCGTTCAGCGCACATCGTCCATCTGGTGACTGCTTCTGCAAGTGAATCTGTGCGTAAATTACCATGCAGCAGGGCCTTTTTTGACGGCCCATGCAACAGTCTATAGAGAAGAACAACTCGGTATCCCGACGTCAGTCGAGTGCCTCGTATGCGACCTAACGCAGAGAATATCGTGTATGAAAATTGAAAGTCAGACTCGAGGGATGTTGCAATCGTCTCTACTTGGCCGCTGTGCGAGACCATGAGGTCACCTCCCTCATGCCTAGAGGGAAGACATATCGCCAGTGTTCCAAAATGCTCCTGAGATTCCAGTTCGTTGCACGGCCGGGTTTCGGGCATGAAGAAGGATCCTTCCTTGAAGGCAATTAACTTTTCAGGTCTGGCTAGGACATCGTCCGGTTGGGAGATCCCAAGCTTGGTGAGTCCTTCCTTTGCAAATAAGGAAACCTGTCTGCGCCATCCTGGGTTCTCGCTGAAAAACTGCCATTGCCCAAGCTCATAACTTTCCGTCATTTGCCCATCCGATAAAGCATTCTCGATTGCAGGCGCGCAATATGGCCTCTGCGGCGTCTGGGCTCACTGGGAGACCAATTGAACCGATTCCATGAATATATAGTCCTGGATTTACAGCTGCCTCGACATACTGACTCGCACAGAACGGTCCTGTCGCTTCCACATTGTCCAGAAGATGTCTGAATCCAACCTTGAATGCATCTCGCGACAGGAAAAGCGGACCCGCAGCTGCTGAGTCCCAGGGTTCCACTCTGTCGCTTGTTGGCTCACTACTGTCAGTCTCGTTGCTTGTCTGGTGCTCGTCATGCTCGGGGATGTTCCACAGTGCCGCCCCTGGACGCTCTTGCTTGACGGGTCCGTCCTGAACGCGCTGCTGTGTCGCGGAGTCTGGCTTGATAGCGACTGTTTCCCGCTTCTCGGGGGGCGACGCGCCAGTAGCAGTAGGGCCAATGCTCCCTGGACGTTCTTCCTTGACAGGTTCTTCTGTATTCGCTTCTGACTTGATATCCAGTGGTTCCTGCTTCGCACGGCGCCGAGCAGTTGTAGAAGGAGGCATGCTTCCGGTGTGAAATGTCGCGACACCACAACTTCCTCTTGCTTGCCGCGACGCGGGAGGCCAGTATTATTTCCTTTTCGGGACGCGATGCCCATCACGCGTCGGTGATCACGTGGGCCGGATCGGTTGTTGAGCCATCCGGTGCATAAGTACAAATATTAATATTAAGGAGTAAATAGGTAGTCTTAAGTATTATGGTATTTCAGATAGCTGAGGTGGTGATCAGGGTTTCCAACGAGTCCTAAAACGCTTGTACCATACAGTCAACATATGCAACGATGCTGCAATATATTATATATAAATTGGTTACACTTTTCTGGGCAAGACTTGATATACATTTTTTTTTAAATCTAGTAGATAAATTTCGCTGTTCTAACAATTCAACGTAACAGAAAAACAAAAACATCAACCTTGCAAGGTATTTTCACTTCTCTCAAATCATTCAATGAACCATCATATCGTCATCATCGTCATCATCATCATCATCGAACTCATCACGCTCATCATCTGGATAATCTCCCAACTCACCACGCTCAAAGATCCCACCATGATCCATCGCCATATGGTCATAAATCATGTCCTCAGGAACCTTCTCCCCGCAGAAGTAGCACCAGCAAGTACCGCACCCCTCAACAGGACAAGTGATATGGCCACACCCTGCAATCTTCTGAGTCATTGTCCCACACTCTGGACAGGGTTTTATCTTCTTGATTTGAGCAATATCGCGTTCAGTATTTGTATCAACTCGAGCTAGCCGCGCCTGCTCCTGGCACTCCTCGCACGTCCAATCCTGTAAAGTCGGCGGTGTTCCGCTGGCACAGTCGCGCTCCACGAACTGCTTCGCCGACGAACAGTCCACGCACCATGCATAAACCCAGCTTCCGTGGTTCTGGATAGCCATATTCAGGTCCTTGACCGTATGAACACCTTTGCCATATTTAGCCAGGGTCTGCGGGGCGGGGAACCGTCGACAGAATGGACAAGCCAGGGTAGCAGGGTTTATGATTGATCCCGGAGTATTGGTGCCGTACCATGAACCTGAGCAGGTTGTGCAGATTCGCTGTAAACATCCTCGGCGGCCGCAGGCGGGATTCAAGGCACTGGGCCAGAAGGAGTCGAAGCACAGAGAACAATCGATCCTTGCAGACTTGCGGCGGTCGACAAAGACTTTCAGGGTGGAAATCAGCTCGTTTGTGTTGCGGACTTGCTTTCCACGCTGGGTGAAAGACCGATCTTGCGCAGGGAAGAGTGATATTCGGCGCATGAACCCGTCTGCTCCCATTGTTGATACGATGTAGAACGGGGAGCGGTTGGTGAACGGGGACTCGCCGGGTTTATCCGAATCCTCTGCTAGCCATGACGTGCCGTTCTCGACGTTAAGAGCTTTAGCTGATGTTTCGATGTCTTCAGTCGTCTGTCGTCCGGACTCGCACGCGGTACAGACAAACTGCGATACATCGAACGAAGAGGGACGATATTCCTCTGGCCAGATTATGCGGTTGGTACATTTGCTGCACTCGACCACCGGTGCAGTCACTGAAACGCCCGTACCTTTCAACCGGCAATAGTGACACTTCGGGCGACATCTCAGACCCGCAACGTCGTATACGACATACTGCCCTCTGCATGAGGGCACTGTGCACTCCACCCAAGACATCTTTGAATCTGGATTGTCTGCATGTGATACTCCAGCACCAGTGCTGTTTGGCCTCCCAGACAACGCCCCAATACAAACACCACACTGGTTATCGGGGCCCATGAGTGTCACGGACCTAGGATACTGGCACAGCCGACATGTCACTACCGGCCCCATGGGAACGACATCTTTGTTCGGCGTCCAGGGGATTCGAGCTGTCAGAGGAGTATCGAGGTTATACTCGAGCATCTTGAAGGCGATCAAGCGCTCGAAAAGCAGTCGATCAGACTCGTTGAGAAGACTGGTCTCTCCTGCAGTTTCACCTCTCTGGGTCTTCTGGTGTGCGGAATTTGCGTCAAGCAAAAGACCCATGCAGCTGGTAGCAAATGTCTCAGGGACTTCGATGTTGTTCCATTTGTCCTTGTAGCTCAGCACCTCGCGTTCTGCAATTTCGGCGAGAAACGGGATACCCAGGCGGATTACGAGTGCTGCGAGCAGTGCTGCTGCTCTCGGTGCTAACTGAGTGCCAGGGGTTATGGTGTGAAGCATGATCGTCCAGAACTGGCTACCATACCGCTCGGAGGCTAGTACAAGGGGAATACGTCTGGCCTGGCTGGTATCTGACTTGACAATGTGCTTCGGCATGCTTTTAGCATCCTTCACATACGAGAGTTGGGTTAATATACGGCCGAGACGGCGCAGGATGCGAGGATCGCAGGATCTGGAAATTTCCAGGAGCTCTTTTCTCGTGAGGTTGCCAACGGGTGCATCTGTATCATCTTTATCTGGAGACCTGTTGAAATTCACTGTCGGGTCCAGGAAGACGCAAGGGAATTGGTCGTCTTCAGGCACGCTGTCAATGGTCGCCTGGATCTCTGCAATGAAATTGTACGACTCCTCCAGCCACTCCTGCATCAAGTCCTTTTTCTTTGCGTCCGTGATTTCCCCAACTGCCTTGCTAAATTTATCAAGAAGAACTTCGCGCTGTTCGTATGTCCTGTCCTTGCAAACAGCCCTCCACAATGCGCCGAACACGGGGTTAATGGCAATAGCAACGACATCCTCCTTGATGATGCGCATCAAGTGCTGTGAGGCCATGTCCCGATAAGCCTTGTCGACAGCCCATCGACCCGCTGGGTTCTGAGCCGGGACGGACTTCTTGGGCAGACGCTGCTTGATGACATCCGTTGTCAGACGCATTTTGGCGATGTTATGTAGCACCTTGGTCTTCTGGTTGTAAGGAACAGGGAAGAACCGACGAGTGTTCAGATCTTCCTCGTTTTCGAGAGCGTGTATCCCCTCCGTGGAAACGTAGTAGGTCCAGTCGCCAATCGCATCAGAGTCAGAGTTGTTCACGCCGCCGCTGTCCTTGTCGACGCCCATCCATGCCAAAAGGAGCTCTACAGACGCCTTGGAGATCGTGTCTGGCTGGGAATCAACCAAGTGGGTACAGGCCCCGCCTGTTATTTCACACAGGTAGTTGTAGTAAGTGGCATCATCGCGATCCATACGCGGCGCTAGAAGGGCAAAGACCTGTGCATTGTTGTGGCCATCACGAAGAGCATTCGCAGCGGAGACCCAGTCGAGGAACGAGGGCCCAAACCCGCCGTACATGGACGACAGGGACAGCTGATTAATCTCCGCCTGGGCGTTGCTCTTCCGGTGGAGAGCTGCAGCGGCGGTATGAGGCGGCGCATCAGCGTAAAGAAGAATTAATGTCTTTGCGTCCGGTCGCATGGTTGAATAGGCCTGGGCTAGGGCTGTCTTCGCTGCCTCGGGGTAGTCCCCACCACCCGTTGCGCGCAGCCTCCTCGCAAACGCTACGATATCCGGCTGCTTTTCAGGGTCCGCACCAGGCTCAAGGTCCAGCCATTCTGAGAATTCCAGTAGAGTGGCGATGTTGGAGTAATCGCGGTATGCCAGGACTCCGATGCGCGAAAAGCACCCAGTCAGGGCTGATATAGATATGATTTGGGACAGAGAGGTATTTAGAGCTGCGAGGTAGTTTGCCATGGACGCCGTCGCGTCGACGATTAGTAGAAGATCGTGCTTCTCCATGGTTGATGTTAGAGCTGCTACTCTTCAGAATACGAAGAGAGGGCGGCCGCGATTTATATGCCTTCATCCCGCTGCCAACTGAGTCATTGTCGCAAGCCTCTTTGTGAATTCACATTGTGAGTTTGTCGATTCCCAACTGCAGCCATACTAGCAATTATCCTGGATGACCCTTCTATGTACAGGTGAGTCATCAGTGCCTGTGGGCGCATCAATCCAATATCGTGTTTGACTCAGTATCTGCGGCTCTGAGATGAATGGCCAATCAGCCTGCAGGCCGGAGTCTCCAATAGGCAAGGCGATTGCTGCCTTGGACAACTCACCTCACAGTGGCTGATGTTGGGGCCAGGCCCACAATGAGGCTGAGTCGCCGGGCATAAAAGAAGCAGCTCGCATCTGTCACTCCAGATTCATTCAACGTCTGCACAAATCCCATTCACCCATGATCCGGCCTCGCAGCTGCCATGGAGAACAAAGTGACCCTGGATGAGCTCCCCGCAGAGCTCATCCTGGACATCGGCCACCAACTGTCCATGGGCGATCTCAACTCACTCGTGCGGACGGCGAAGCGCTTTGACATCGTGCTGTCGACTCGCCTCTACCGTCTAGGCGCTGAATTTGCCGGAAAAATAATACCGCTGATATGGGCCGTGAAGAACAACCGGATTTCGGTCGTCCGGCGGCTACTCGACCAAGGCGCAGACCCAGCCTCACAAGAAGCGGCAACCACAACGGCCTTACACTGGGCTGTCAAGCAGTTGCGCCTGCGCGTACTCCGGATGCTCCTCCGGCCGGGCGTAGAGACTTTCGTGATGGACCGGAAGGATTCAACGCCTCTTCAACTCGCGGCCATACACCCGCGATTGGGAGCCCTCGAGATTATGCTGGACGTCGCGCCTGCAGCATATCCAGATGCGAATGAAGACTGGGCCACGGCACTGGAAATGGCGGTGCTCAAGGGGCGTTTGCGCCATGCTCGCCTACTCCTCGAGACAGCTGCGAAGAATATCGAGCGCCCGGCGCAGAAAGCCTTGGAGGGCACGATGCTCACCGCGGCCCGTACAGGAAATCGTGCGATGATCGAACTACTGGTCAAATTTGGTTGGGATAACTGGGGCGCAGTTGAGGCCACCGACAGCACGCCTCTATATGCCGCTGTGGAGAAGAACGATGAAGATATTGTTAAGATGTTGATTCAATATGGGTCAAACGTCAATGCTGTCGAAGGCAACGGCGAAACAGCATTGCACATAGCGACCAGGAGATATTACTTCAACATCATGAAGGTCCTGCTTGAAGCTGGTGCGGATGTTAGTATTGTTGATGAGAGTCAGAACACCGCGCTGCATCTCTCCAGCTGTGGGCGTGAGAGCAGTAAACCCGTTACTGAACTGCTGCTTGACTCAGGAGCCGATATTCATGCCAGGAACAATGTTGGGAATACAGCATTACATGTAGCAGCTGACGCTCCCACGAATGTATCAGTTGTCCGGCTGCTAATCGAACGCGGTTCCGACGTCAAGGCCGCGAACAATAATGGAAAGACACCCCTCTTCATGGCTGCTCGTAGAGGCTCTCTTCCCATTGTCAACCTTTTGCTCTCTTGCGGCGCCCATGTTAACATTGAACGGGGTGGAGACTTGTGTCCCCTAACTGCGGCCGCTGATTCAAACCATGCGCATCTACTTCAGCCTTTAGTCGATGCTGGATTCGAGCTCAACCCGGTGGGCCTGTCACCGATGATGGTGGCAGCCGACAGTGGCCATGCGGAAGCCATGCGAGAACTCATCCGACTCGGCGCTGACATCAATCATACTATTGACGAAACAGTCCCTCGTTCACCGATTGACCGGGCAATCCGCTCTCACAATCTGGAAGCCGTCCGGGTCTTGCTGGAAGCAGGCGCACCCATCTGCAAGCCGGGATACCCCGGAGAGTCAATCTTGCACTCGGCTGTACACGCCGGCGCGACGGTAGGCATTGTCGAGCTCTTAATCCAGCATCGTGCCGATGTCCACGCCCTCGAAGGGCTCAACCAGAATGCGCTGCATACAGCCGTACGCTTCAATCGAAGGATTCTGATCCGCCCTCTAGCTGCTGGCGGGGTCCCCATAGACGCCCCCGACGCCAACGGCAACAGACCCATCCATCTCGCCGTTGAACACAGAGGCCTGTCTTGCAGGTTCGTCGAACCCCTTATCACGGCCAGAGCCAACATCAGCGCTCGTGGCGACCAAGGTCTCACAGCGCTACATACCGCCATTAAAAAGGCCTGCTATAGATCACGCAAGTTGTTGATCGAGGCAGGGGCCGACGTCGGGGCAGAGGACATCCTAGGCCGTACACCATTACACCTCGGTGCAGCACGCGGCCACAAACCCACCTTCCAACTGCTCCTCGACGTGGCGAGACAGAAATCCGTGCCCCTAACAGCCCAATCCGCCTACGGCCTCACCGTCATCGAAGAGGCGGCTGCAGCCGGAAACACAAGTATCCTCCAGATGCTCTCAGACGAAAACCTCGACATCACGGGCTCAAATCCATCACAGCACGGCAACCACCGTGGAATGCCCCCCGTGCACATGGCCACTATCTACGGCCGTGAAGCAACAGCAAAGCACCTCATCAGCCGTGGTGCAGACCCACACGTCATAGACGTCTATGGCCGCACCGCAATGGACTGGGCAATGCTGCACCAAAGCGACAACCTGACCTCCCAGCTCCACAGACACAACTTCATCTACGCCCCGCTAACAACCGAGGCCCGGACAGCAGTGCTAAAGGAGAGCATAGTGGGCCTGGCGCGGCGTGTCCTCGACAATGTCGCGGCGGTATTCTACCAGCTGGCCAAGTGTCTGCAATTCATCGATAACATGCCCGCGGCTGCAACAGTGTGGTCGTTTGGCTTGGCGCAGGTGTCCTGCGACCAGTGCGACATGGCGCTTCCGCTGAATGGACCCAGGTTTGTGTGCAGCCAGTGTCCGGAGATGGACTTTTGTGTGGGCTGTCATGGGGATGATGGTTCTAACCTTCAGAATGCGCATTCTGCATGCCTTCGGCATGGGCTTGCAGAGGTTGATTTGGGGGGCTACATGCTTCCCGAGCAGAGGGGGGAGGCGCCAGATGAAGGCGCTTTGTATCAGGCGAGGAGGGCATTCTTGAAGGGATTGATTGAGCAATATAGCCAGTAATTACTTATGAATTTTTTTTTTCTTTGTTTTTATAGCGTGGGATATGCAGCGAGCGAATTACTTGTCACATTTATAACCAACTTCATCTTCACTGATTGAGATACCAAGCGAATCACGAATCTTATTTCTATGTCTCTTTCCTGTTTAAACCTCTACAAGATGTCCCATACTTTAGGCTTCTAGCACATCAGGCAAAGAAAGACCGGTTTACTCCAAAGTATTCCCATCCAGCTGCTAGTAGTAACCTCCCTAATAATAACGAATCAGTTTAGTTACAGTTAGTTATTTCCGCAACTCCCCCATTTTATCGCCTGCGGCTTCGTGAGGAACTTCTCATCCTGTGCATAGATAACAACACTCTCCCCATCGACGCCGACAAAGGTACAGAAGCCGCCGCCGGGCGAGGTAACGCGGTGAACGACCAAGGGGTTGTCTACCATGAATACACATTAGCATTACCACAGGAAGGGAGAATGGAGGGAGATGAAATGTAGAAAGGGGTAGATGTACCGATTTGGACTGGGGTCCTGTCAGTTGGAACCAAGAGGCTGTAAAAGTCTTCGTTGTTCTCGCCGTAGAGAGTGACCGAGACGTCGAAGGCGCTGGTCAGGGCAGCAAGGGTAGTAAGGGCAGTAATAATAGAGAACTTCATGCTGATAGATTCAAGTAGTGTTTAGTAAGAACTGGTTTGGTTAGGTATGGTCTTGAATGCCGGTGGGGATGGCGATTTAAATAACGTTGACACCAAATATTCGCATATGACCAAGATATAATTAGGCGAGCAGCCCTAAATACCTACCATACTTTTTTGAAATGCAGAACTGCAATGTTTGGCCCAGCTGAGACAAGCGCGCTATGGGACCGAATCCGGGGCTTGGAGCGTCACGAGAGGGCGTGAGACGACGTCATCCATCACTGCAGAGTGGCTATTGGGCGCTGGGTGAGACAGTTCTGGCCGGCCTGGACGGTTAATGTGAGACTGGTTGGCTCGTATACAGCATCGGTGTGACCATGGCCCAAACCGGTTGCATCGAACATAGAATGGTATACCATATTCCCATTCCTCGTGGGGAATAACCAGGCAAGGAGTTAAATCGCTTTTCAAATACTGCCCCCATTAATGTATTGCCTGAACAAGGCCTGTTAAAGGCTCCAGTAGTTTACGAGTGTTAACATATTCTCAGAGCATCCCATTGCCACCTCACTCGGGACATATTGTAAGAATAGATAGTCCAATGGAAGGGCTCCTAGCAGTCTATTTCATGCACTGAGCTACAGCAACCCTCGAATCGTAGTCTCATAGTCCTCTGGCTCCCTCTTCAATATCTCACCCAAAGTCGGCGTAACAACTGCCGTCTCGCCACGCCTGATCGCCTCCCAAGCAGTCGTCCATTCCCTCGCCAAATCAACCCCATGGTACGTATGCTTGCCTTCATGCTGTAGCTTCGCATACTCATCAACGCTGATCTGCCGAATCGTCACATCCTTCCCAGAAACCCTTCCCAGTACCTCCGCCGTCTCCTTCAGACTCACCACCCTCGGCCCCGTAAGAAGGACAATCTTATTAACATACGGAAAGTCCTCTGCAACATTCCCTCCCGTGGACGTAGCATAGTCAACAACCAACCTCGCACTGGCCTCGCCCAGCTCATCTCTCTTCACCCAAGCCACACCAGGCCCAGACCCGTCATGCGGGATGGTAATCTCGCTCTTCGGATTCTTCAAATCAAACCAAGAGGTATAAATCGGGAAAGACTCCGAGTACAGGCCTTCACGGATAGAAGTATACGTGATGGGAGCGTCAAGTTCAGACAGGAATTTCTCTGTCTGGAGATGCGCGCCCATGACATGCGCGACGGAGTGGTCACTGTAGTTCCCTGCGAATGCGAGGGAGGAGTAGAAAATGTGTTTCACGCCGGACTTCTGCGCCGCGTTGATGGCTTTTTTATGCGCCTGTATTTATTAGCACAGGCTATCATGGTAAAGTGGGGCAGGATAAGGGGGTACATTAAATCGGTGCTCGATCTCGAACGAGGCATAGGAGATGAGCATTAGCACGTCCACGCCATCGAATGCGTGGTCCAGTGTCGCGGGATCATCGTAGTCTGCGTGGCGTACCGTGGCACCAGCAGCAGCTTCCTTTGATAGAGACTCGGGCTTCCGCGCGATTAAGACGAGCTGTGATGCGGGGACGAGGTTGAGGAGGTGCTTGACGATGCTGGATCCCAGGCCGCCGGCGGCGGGGAAGACACCGATTCTTGACATTGTTTGGAGATTCTTTGGTAGATAGTTTGGTAGATGGATTGGTAGATGGATTGGATAGATCCCACAGGAGCGTGGTGTTAATTAAGGATGGCAGGGGTTGATCTGCTTAGAAATCGATCTTAAGAAGCGAAAAGAAGCTCAACAGTCCCACTGTGTCGGTGACGTCATAGTTGTGCTGTTAGGGCTCGCCTCCACGGGGTTCAAGATAACTCTGCCACTGAATATTAAATCAAAATATGGAATACTATCTGGTATTTAAACAGGCTGGACCGGGATGGAGTTGTTGTTGCTGTATCAGCTCTGCCAAAGACAAGCTTTATACTAATCTTGTACAGGACGCCTCGCCTATAGCTACCACATATTCCAGGGATTTTGCAAGCTCAAATATTTCATCAAAGGTCGAGTCAAGGGGTCTGTTTCGGTCATATGTATGATTGCATCTTGATATGTTGGGCCCGTGAGACCGACGAGCCCCAGTTTCCGCTATCGTTGACTACATGTGCAACCGAGCGGGAAAGGAAAGGTCACCATGATATAATTGTTCTATCTGACGCTTAAAATCTGACCATGGCTTGAATAATAAGATGAATTAGTATGTGCTGTGGTAACTGCTCGGCGCTTGGACATCGAATCAGCATACGCCCTAAACCGCCATGCAGACTTAGCATCGCCTGAAACCTGCTAGGGCGAGATTAGAGGTCTGGACAGTCTGACAGCTTCTCAGAGTTTGTCATCAACACCTCCATCATCCGCAGGTGGAATGGGTTTGTCCCCAGGCGAAAGACGACTCGCTCGTTTCTTATGCTATTCCCTCGCGGTTATTGTTGTCATCGCTTTCGTCCTCTGGCCGCCCGTCTCTTATGCCTCAGTGACGGCGCAGAAAGGGATACAGGGCGCCCGAGACCACCTAGATTCTATAAGAAATGAGACCCTGGGGGTAAGGGTCGCTTCTAATGCATTGGGCTTTGCTGACTTGAACAGGTCCAAAAGGTGTTCGCTATCAGTCTTCCTAGTAGATTGGATAAACGCGACAACATTGTCCTGGGTTCGTCTGTCAGCGACTTCCATGTTGAATTTATCGACGGGATGGTTCCAGATGAGATAGACCCAAAGACCTACCCCTATGTAAGCTTACATGTTGTTCTCTGGAGCTCCTGTTGATGAAATTAGAACTGGAACTATGATAATCGACCAGTTGAGTACGCAGCTCGACGATCACACGTCAATGCAATGCAAAAGTGCGTTTCATCAACCCATAACTCCTACTCAATTTGACCGTCCTTAGGATTGTGAGCGAAAGACTCGGCAGCGCCATTATTATGGAGGACGATGCGGACTGGGATGTATCCATCAAAACTCAGCTCCAAAACCTCGCCATTGCAGTCCGGGCTCTTCAGCAAGACGATCCTGTCTCGGACTCGCCATACGGCCATGATTGGGATATTCTCTGGCTAGGACATTGTGGCCTTGAATGCCACACTCAGCAACCTTCTTTCATAACGCCAAATGACTCTACTGTTCTCCCACCCCATCACTTCTTACCATACTGGCGCGACCCCCCACCGGTCCACAGGCCAGATGACTCGCGCCTAACATGCACAGTGAGCGACGGGGTTTGCTCTATCGTCTATGCCGTGAGCTTTCGCGGGGCACAACGGATTCTAGCCGCCCTATCGGTAAACCCATCCGACATCGCAGAGAAAATTGACATCGGGGCGCAGTTTGACGTCTCCCTGGGCCGTATGTGTGGGAATAGGTTCTTGACGTGTTTTGGAGCATACCCCTCTCTTACTGGTGGTTACAAGGCGGCTGGGCCGGCAGCAAAAGGGTCTGATATCAATGGCCCTGCTGTGGACGGCGGGCCAGTCGAGGGTCCCTTTAGTAGTGGTGTCATGTATAGCACGATGCTCAATATTAACCGGCTTCTAAATGGAGAAACGATTGTTCGCTCGACTTGGGATGATGCTCTGGTGCCAGAAATTGACCCTCGTAGTATCCCTGTGCTAGGAGGGAATTTACAGGGTTGAACTAGGACAGTTGGCGAATGGTTCTATTGAATGATTTAGCTTTGATTTTATAATATCCCATTTCTGCTGATCGATACAAGTAACACTTATATCCGAGTTCTCTTTACCCCTTCGAAAAATACAGGTATACTCGAAGTCGAGAATACTTTCCCGCCTCGGCTTCAGATTGAATACCGCAATGATCATCTCTATTATTGGAAAACCCCATCATTGGTCCCTGAATACGAGCGCCCCGTCCAAAACAGACAGCCAAGGACGCCAAGCAGGGCAAGCCTCATCATGGACATCATCTCATTGGGCGGGAATGATATCCAGGCCTCTCTCCACCATGAGCTAGACCGTTGAGGATAGAAGGTTTCTTGCCTCGTGTTCCCACTAATTTGGGAAGGCCCACGCGGGAGATAAAAGCAGCGCAAACCCCCCTGTCGATTCCCCAGCCAGAAATTGCCCCGCCAGCCCTCCGGGGCTTATTCCGCGGCCATGTTTGCGTTTCACCTCATCCTGCTTTGCTTCGTGCTATTTGCAGTGTGCCGTGCAGAAAATGTCAGCCCACGCGTCGATTCCTCACTGACGGGCCTGGTTTCGGATTCATCAACAGATGCAAAAGAGCTGTGGAAACGCCGAAAGGGAGGCGGAGGGTCCGATAGCGACAGTAGCTCTGGATCTGGATCTAGCTCCGACTCCAGTGGTGACTCCGGTAGCTACGACGACGACGACGACGACGACTATACCTACGGCCAAGTCCCGGAAGACGACAACGTCTGGTATAGCTGCACGCGACCCATGAACAAAACGCGCCCTGCGGAGAATACACTAGGCTACGGGGGCTGGTATACCGTTGGAAATGGACAGTGCG